AGTTGGCTAAAGCCAACAGCCCAAGAAAAGTGGACCCGTCAGCAGGATTCAGATCACCCAAACCAGTTGATCCTGTGATGAGATTGGACCACTACCAGAAATGACAGCCTTGTTCTAGTCACCACAGCAGGTGATTATTCTATGTATGGCTGAAGCCTGAGAAAACAACAGCCCTCCTCTGGTCATTCTGGAAGCTGACCAGTCCATGCATAGCTAAAGCTTGAAAATCAACATAGAGTCACAACAACAACATAAGCATCTTATTCTCTTTGTTATAATTCTCCCTGGCCTCTTACCCTACTTGTGAAAAACATTCAGTCAGCCATAGAGACTTTAATAAATAGACACATTATCACCCAACTAATGGCTCTCACCAAATACCTACCTCTGCTCAGTAGGGAGTCACTCCCTTGTGACAAGAAAATTGACAATAATGATGAATCATAGTGGGCCAGAGATTTAGCTCAGTGGTGCTGCACCTGCCTCACAAGTGCAAGGTCCTGAGTTTGATCCCCAGTACCAAAACAAACAACACAACACAACACTTGTCATAGGAAGCATCAAAGGGTGATGATACAGGACTTCAAGGAAAACAATTTTTTCCCAGCCTTGGGCAATACCCCCCCCCCATAACTGTCCCTCTTCCCCTGCATCTGTAACTCCTTGTTCTCATACAGATAAAATTGGCAACTATGTCCTGTGAACAAAGTTGATGCCATCTTGTTCTCACAAGATTCACAACTGTCTGTCTTCTTTCAAGGCTAAATTACAAAACTATCTGCCCTTATCCTGTTTCATGTAAACTCACTTGCTTTGTCACTAGAAAGACCAATCTCTTTTACCAAATGTATAAAAACTGGAACTTTTCTTTGTTCAAGACTCTTCGTTTGGACATTAGTCCTTTGAGCCAGTGTTCACCTAAACCTAAAGTCCTCCTGTTTCTCTTCGGTCTCTCCTGTCTCTTGGATTCTGCAACAGTCACAGGCCCAGTATGTCAGAAGGACCTAGAAGAAGGTATCAGTTAGTGTCCAAGTCCTGTGACGTGGAGTGTGATGGGGACCAAGTCCAACTTACCTCTGGCCTCTGTGCCAAAGCAGGGTCAAGTTCTAGGAAGGCCACATTAGTGTCATCTGCCTGTCAAGGGGTGCACCTGCCTGCTGGGACAGGGTCCCTGCCCTTAGTGGCCTGCAGTGGGCAGTGCAGCTCTTGTTCTGCTCCATTGTCACCAGACTAGCCACTGAGGTGCAGGGGAGCAGGAGCTCTGCGTCCTCTCTGGCACTTGGTGTCTGAGATGCAGCAGCCGGGTGCAGGTCCACATCACTTCTCTTGGACCTTGGGCCCTGGGCCCTCAGGGTTCCACTGGTCTCCCCTATCCACACCTCAGAGGGTGGGGGTGATGAGATGATCTACAGTCACACCAAGAATACATCCTAGGGCCGGCGATTTAGCTCAGTGGTTCCACTGCCTGGCTTGCAGGCACAAGGTCCCAAGTTTGAGCCCTGGTACCGAAAAAAAAAAAAAAAAAAAGAATATATCCTAGAGTGGGGTCCCCAGAGAGGAGCTTTGTGGGAAGGGGTGCTAGAGAGGAAAACAATGTGCCCCTGCCCCCGCCATGCTTGCAGATGTGTCACTGACTCTGGACACGAGGACAAGTAGACCTAAGAGTTTGGCACCAGTGCTCCAAAAGCAAAATCAAAGGGCTGGGGGCTCAGGGCATGGGGCAGCCGGGTGAGAACATAGCTTGGGCCTCACTGTGGGGCAGGGCCTCCCCCCAGCACTGTCCAGGGCACAGATGCCTTTGTCCCTGAGATAATGCAGTCTGTCTGTGTTAGATTTGACAGCACACGTGTGCTTTTTAATATACTGAGTATTTTTCCTGTCTGGTATTTGCTTATGTCTTAAAAGTTGTTCTATAATAAAAATAATTTAACCAGCTCCGTGTCCCTGAGAGGTTTTTTTTGTTTTTTGTTTTGTTTTGTTTTTCATTTGGAAGAGTCCTTATGTTACGCAAATTTGGGGACTTTTGAAGACCTGTGCCACCAGGTTCTGACATTCCCCTGGGAGGGACACCAGAAGCTGAACCCAGTGGGAAATTACAAAGAAATGGAGAAACAAGATGGTTACAAAAAGGCCAGTCAGTGACAGTGAGGGCATCACATGGCAGGTGCAGGCACAGGCTCAGAGCACGCTGAGCTGAGAAGCAAGAGCTAGGGGAGACAGTGTCACTGTGCAGGGTGGCAGGAGCCTTCATATCTTCTGAGGGGAAAGAGACAGTGTGCGACCTGCACCCAGAACCCTGGTCCCTGGGGATTAGGCCGGTGTGAGTCCTCACCAGCTGCTGGACTGGAGCGTGGCAGGATGGCCTCCTAACCATCATTCCAGATGTGCAGGGACAGATTGCAACCTCTGCTCCAGAAGCTGTGAAGTGAGAGTTTGCAGTGTCCTGGGTGACAGAATCTTAGATGTGTAATGCGTAGAAATTCCTCAGCTCAGGCGAAGGCTTTCCAGCCAGCAGACACATGAGCTCTGTGCAGAGAGGAAGAGGTGGACGACGGACAGCAAGACCCGGACAGTGAAAGAAGCCAGTGTAATGGAGCCAGCTGAGCAGGCCAGAGTTCTCGCTGGGATTGGCCAAATCTGTGGTACTCACAGGCCACCACTGTGCAGCATGCCTGCTGTGGAGGGGCAGCGATGCCACTGCTGGACACACCCCAGAAGTAAGGAGAGTCTCAGGAATGTTGGACCCCCACCCTGTTCACAAGAGCCCAAAGACGGAAGCATCCTGAGTGTCCACGGACAGATATGAGGACAAACAAAGTGTGGTCCATCCAGTCTAATGTGACTCAGCTCAAAAATCATGACTCATGGCTGGGTGCAGTGGCACATGCCTGTAATCCCAGCACTCTGGAAGGCCAAGACAGGAGGATCACAAGTTTGAGGCCAGTGTGCAAAACTTAGCAAGACCCTATCTACACACACACAAAGGGCTAGGAGTGTACTTCAGTGTGAAGGCCCTGGGTTCAATCCCCAGTACCAAAAGAAGAAAAATAAAACCTGATATGCTACATGGGTGAAGCTTGAGGACATCGTGCCCTTGAGTCATCAGGTCCCTGGAGACAGGAAGTAGGATGGTGGGTCCCACGAACTGGGGGCAGAGCTTGAGCTGGAGAAATGGAAGGTCCTAGAGGTGGATGGTGGTGCCAGGTGCACAAAGTGTAGATGGGCTTAGAGATAATTTGTTTTTGTTTTTGCTTTTGAGACAGGGTCTCACTATGCAGCTCAGGCCGGCCTTGAACTTGCAGAAACCCTTCTACCTCAACCTCTCGAGTGCTGGGGTGATAGGTGTGTGCCACCAGGACTGGCTGAGAATCCATAGAGAAAAGGTTCGTCTTGGCCCATGGTTTCAGAGGCCATGAACCTGTGGCGGGTGGGGCAGTGTGTCACAGGTGCCCGTGGGGGAGTAACACTGCTCACTTCATCCCAGAAGCAAGAGAGCCAGGAGAGGCCAGGGTCCCACAGTCCCCTTTCAGAGCATGCCCCTAGCTGGGCACAGTGCCCACACCTGTCATCGCCGCACTGTGGGACATGAAGGCGGGAGGATTGCAAGTCTGAACCCAGCCCAGACAACTTAGACCCTGTCTCAAAATAACAACTAACAAAAAGGGCTAGAGATGCAGCTCAGTGGAGAGGCCCTGGATTAAATCCCTGGGCAGGGGTGAGAACACACCTGGTAACCTGAGAACCTCCCACTCGGGTCTCCCTTAAAGGTTCCATGGCCTCCAAACAGTGCCAAGCTGGGGACCAGCCATGGTCCATACAGGCCTTCGGGGACAGTCCAGATCCAATTTAGCAAGAATCATGAGCATTTTCACTTGTGCTTGCCAGGCGTGGTACCACTGAGCTACATCCCTGGCCCCAGATGTGCCGGCATTTTTAGTCCACCTCAGCATCCTGTAATAGTCGATGAATGAAGGAAGCAGCAGTGTGGGAGGAGTGTTGCAGGTCACAAGCCCTTGGACTTGCAGCTCAGGATGGCAGATGGACCTGCAGCCACCTCTGCCACCCAGATCCACTGAAATGTCTGACACTGCTTGTCTGTCTTGGTTTTTGAGACAGGGACTATGTTCTAGGATGGCCTTGGATGTGAAATCCTCCTGCCTCAGCTTCTCAAGAGTGCTGAGACTATAACTGTCTATTTTGAAGTGTAAACCATAGGATAGATGGAATGGGAGAGGTCTGGAGGGTGGGAAGGGTGAGATGCCCACCAGGCACAGAACAGCACTGCACCTGTGTGGTACAGAACCCTCCCTCTGAAGAGGCCCAGGTTGGGCACCCCAGGTGGAGGCCTTCTGGATCTGAGAGGGCAGGTGAGGGAGGCCTGGGTGAGGACTGCAGTCCACTCAGTGTTTTCTCCCTGTGGGAGCTGCCCACAGCTGTGCGTGCCTGGGCTACAGCTGTGTGGATGGGGCTGCTGCTTTGGGCAGGGTGGGTACCAAGCGGGCCAGGAAGGTGAGGCAGCCGTGTGCCCCTTCCACCAGCTGGAAGGCGGCCTAGGGGAGGAGGTCGGAGAGCCCCACCCACCAGCCTGACACTACACCTCTTTGGGTGGAGCCCAAAGAGATTTCTTGGGCCCCGGATGGCCTCTTTATCTCCCAAATTGGACACTAGGCCAGAACAGGCTCAGAGCTGTGGAAGACCGTGACCTTCTCAGGCTCCTGTTCCCAAGGATGGAGCTCCCAGAGGGCTGAGAGGAGCTTCCTGTCCCATGGTGCCTAGCCAGCAGCCCAGGTCTGGGTTTGTCCTGCAGGCCTGGTGTACTTCTGGAAGGCCAGCAAAGGGGCCTCTGTGATGGGTAAAACTCAGTGGGGCTGTGGGTAGACCCACAAGGCACCCAGGACTTCCTGCCTGCTGCCATGAAGCCTAGGTGTGACTCTGTGTCCCCAGCTGCCAGCCGGAAGCTTCTGCCCCTCCCAGCGCACACAGGTGAGGACACCAGCCCAGCCTGTAGACAGTAAGAGTTTATTTCAGACTCAGCCTCCTCCCAGGCCCAGGGCTCCTGTGGCACTGGCCGAGTGTCTACATGATTCCCGCAGTGGCCACTGCCACTTTGGAACGCCTACCTGCCGCCACTATGCCAGGGGCAGGCCAGGGCCAGGCATGGGAAAGACGGCTGTGCAGCGGTCTCCCTGCAGGCAGTGGGCAGTGGGCAACGGCCACCCACCAAGCAGTTCTACTCTACCTGTTATTGCATTTATACGCTTGTTGGATAGGGACACTGGGCGCAGGCAGGAGGGGTGGTCAGCTGGGGGTGTTGGCAGGCATGACAGGGAGAGATCCTCCTTGGACCCCTGCCTCCCTACCAGGCTTTCAGCATTCCCCAGGAAGTGTGGCACGCTCCTAGTCGCAGGGGCTCCACTGGGACATAAGCTGGAAAAGGGGAACTTCAGGAGCCTTGGCAAGACCAGTCCCCAAGCTGTCTTTCCCCCCAGCCACAGCACAGGCAGTAGGCAGAGGTGGCTCTGCAGATGGACTGTTCACCTCAGGGCAGTACTCCTGCATGAGGCCCAGAGCAGGATTGGGGATATGAACTACCACACCCTTTAGGGACCCACAGGGTCCTGTGAAGACCAGCAGGCAGCCACACATGGGGTCTGTTCCTTCCTTCCTCCCTATCCCTGCTGCCTGGGCTGCCCAGGCTGGGCCCTCTGCCCTGCCTGCTAAGCCCCAGAGCCCAAGATCCTGCCCTAGAGCTTGGAGGGGACTGTGCTGGGGTCAGCAGAGGTAGCTCACTGTCAAGTCTCTCCCGCTGTGTACATGGGGGAGGGGGTGTACATATATGTATAGGATGTACGTGTGTAGATATAGATAGGTACTGTAAAGTCGCATGCACTAGCTCCCAGGTCTGTACAGGAAGTGGCTCTGTGAACCCCTGGACACTGAGCATCAAGGAATCATTTTTTCCGGGCCAGGAAGGCCACACCAAGAATTAGGGCCACTGCTGCCACAGCCACCCCCCCAACCACCAGCAGGGGTGTGAAGTTCTCACAGGGCCAAGGATCTTGGCCCCCTGAGCCCCTGGTGGTGGACTCGTCCTCCTCCGCCCCATCCCCAGGACCCTTGGGCTCTGGGGTTGCATCAGGACTGCTAGGGACAGCAGGAGCTGTGGAGGCCGGCTTCAGGTTGCTGTGGTTGTTGAGAAGGACAGGATCAGCCTTGGCTGGGGCCTTCTTGGCAGAAGCAGGGGCTGCCGGCTGCTCCTGCTTCTCGGCTTGGGCCTCCTTCTTCCCGGTCTTGGTCAAGAGGGCTTTTCCATCAGCAGCTGGAGCGGCCTTGGCCTCAGTGGTGGCCTGAGGCACCTTGGTGTCTGGCTTGGGACTGCTGGCCGACTTTGCCCTGGACTCCATGGTGGTGATGCTGGTGGCTGGGGGTTGTGTGGGACAGGCAGGTGGCTTGACCGGTGACTCAGGACAGCTCGCCCCTGGGCATCATAAGGGCCTGGAGGGGGACACGAGTGAGGATGTGACAAGGGAGGAGGCGCCCATGCACCCCCCACACCCTGGCTCTTGCAGACCCTCCCTGTGCCCTGGCCTCCCTAGGAGCCTCTCACTGCCTCTTCCAAGGTATGGCTTCCATCAACCTCTGACCACTCCCAGAGTAGCCCCTGCAGCTACAGAGGCAGGGGCTGTGGCTTGAACCCAGGTGGGAGGGGCCAGATGGGCCCAGCCAGAGGCCTCTGCTTCCTCTCTAAACTTGTCCTGACCCCCGGCCTACTGCATCCATTCCGGGAGCTCCATGAGTGTGTGCTCAGAGGGCGAGGGGGCATGTGGGCACGGTGGCACACAGACCAAGCATGTACCCAACTGGGGCTCCTTGCTGTTTCTCAAGGGTGCTGAGCCACCCTGAGCTGTGGCCTGGCCCAGGTCCTGGTGGAGGAGGGATGGGGCTGAGCTGGAACGCTGGCTCAGGGTCGGGATTCGCGCAAGGGCATTAGGACCAGGACCCTGAGGTGATAAAACTGAGGCGTCACCCCTAGGCAGAGAGGCAGGGTAGGCAGCCACGAGCCTGTGCCTCCAGATGGGCGGCCACCTTCCTGGCACTGGTGCCCTCACCCTTCAGCGTCTCGCCTGAATCTAGCCCAGTGGCAGGGTGTCCTTGCGGAGCCCACGGCTGGGCTTGCCTCTAGGGCACAGCCTAGGGTAGCGCGCGCACACACGCACACGCACGCACGCACGCACGCACACGGTGTGGGGCCTTAGAGTTAGGGCAGAGGGTGAGTGCTGGACTGTAGGAAAGACCTCACCGACTCCCAGCTCCCGGTCGGGCAGAAGGGGCCTGGCCTCAGGACCTAAAGCCACAGCTGGGCTGGGCGGGGCCTCCGGAAGGAGGAAAAACGCCCCCGCCTCAGGAAGAGGAGCCGCTGAGGCTGCAGCTCGGGCTCCGCATCCCAACAGGCGTAGTGACCACACTGAAGGTCACCTGAAGGGCACAGCCGCAGGAGGGGCCCAGAGGAGAGGCCCGGCCACCCCACCCCAGCCCACCCCGCCCCGCCCCCTGCGGCTAGGCAGGGCAGCTCTGCCCCTGGTCGCCCCGCGGCTCGCACCTGCGCCCTCCCGACCGCTGCCGCTGCCTCCTAGAGCCTCTCAGCTCCGGAGGGTGGGGGCGCTGGACCCGGCGACCTTCGCAGCAGGGCCGCGCCCCGCCAGCAGTCCCGGCGCCCCGCCCCTCCGCCCTCCAGGAGCCCGCCGCCTTACGCCGTCTGTCGGGCCGGCGGGCGCTGGGCCTCCTCCGCGGTTCGGCAGCGGCGCGGGCGCGCCCGGGAGTTTCCCACAGTGCACAGCTCGCACGCAGGACGCGAGGACGGGGGCGGGGCGGGGCCTGTGACGTCGGGGCGGGGCCTGTGACGTCGGGGCGGGGCCTGAGAACGTCACGGGGCGGAGTCTGACTCCATCAGCCGGGGCCCACCCGCGCCTGCGAGCTGGGGCTTCTGCGCAAGCTTAGGTCAGGGGGAGTCGCTGAGAGTCTCTGCGCTCTGGTACCCGATCTATCCTGCGGGGCAATCGCAGGCCGCCCGCACCTGCGGTCTATCCTGTCCGAAGAGTAGGAGGCTCAGGTCTGCAGGCCAGGGGAGCTGGGCCTTGCAGGAAGAGCTGCCCTCCCACGCCCACAGACAGACAGAGACAGGGTGTCTACATAGAATATTTATTTATCCTCTTACATGACAAGACACAAAAAGTTACAACTTCCTAAAACTTCTCCAAAAGAAAAAAATATAATTCTGTAAGCAGCAGCAGCAGCTTCCAAGGTAAAGATACGGGAGGGGGCAGCTCCCAGGAGCAACCGTGAAATCGGGGCCCAGACCTGAGCCCCAGGTAGTGTCGCTGGGAAGGGGCCTCCGCAGAGGGGACCAGGTTGGGGACACAGCACCAGCACATCAGGATCAGTCACCAACACGATCACAACAGGGCAGGGCAAGGAGCCTGCTTCAATTCAGGACATCGGGGTGAGAGGGAGGGGGTTCCCCAGCATGGTTAGGAGAGTAGGGTGGCCCCTGGGGGACTGGGCAGCAGCTCCTCCCTCCCCCACAGCAGAGCAGGTGCCCCCAGCCTCTATACTGGCCTTCACATCTGCCCTTGGCCAATCCCAATCTAGGGGTGAGGGGTCTCAAAAGAGAGGCCAGGCTGGAGAAATAAATTCCTGGATGGGGTCAGCAGAGGGTCTGGAAAACACATAGTGCCTGGCCATGTGGGGCCCATTCCCAAGGACCTGGGAAAGCAGGGCCAGGGATTTAGCTCAGTGGTTTCGTCACCTGCTGCCCAAGCGCAAGGACCTGAGTTCCATCCCTGGTACCAAAAAACAAAAAGGAAAGCTGAGGGCTGGCAGGCACAACTTGTTCCTCACGCATGCACACACACACAGACCTTGTGTGACCTAGGCCAGCCTGGGGCCGTGGTGGGCCACCAGGTCCCACAGCGGGGCGCTTGCCCTGGGAGCCAGCACTCAGCGTGAGCCCTACCCACTCTGGGTGTTCTGGAAAGCTGGCCAAGGTGGGGAGAGCAGCAGGGACAGTGGATGGATGCACAGGACAGGCAGAGCCACATGGGCACAGCAAGTTCAATAAATAGGTTTGTGTGGGTCCCCTCTGAAGACCAGGAGAGCTTCGGAGACAGGACCCAGCAGAAGGAGGGTAGGGTCCAGCCTGCTCAGCCCAGGCCTGAGCCCCCAGCCCAGAGACCAGCTCTGTGCCTGGGGGTGTTCAGGCTGGGCAGGACTGGGTCAGGGTCTGGCTCAAGGAATGTACAGATTTCTGCATTTTCTACATAAATAAGACATTGATCCCAATGGTGTGCCAGCAGGGCCCCATGGGGGCCTATGTGTGCACCACCCCTGTGGACCCTGTTCCCTCCCCCGGGCCCCACTGACAGGGGACAGCTGGAGAGAGACCTTCCCTCTCTCAGTCCTGGGCCAGCTGCCCTGCTCCAACCCCACGGTGAGCTCAGGCCTGGGGGTCCTGCAGTAGCCCCAGCAGGGACTCGGCAATGCCCAGGAAGTAGACCACCTGTGCGATGCCGAACAGTGGAGCGATGACCAGTGCGCGGCAGTAAGCACCCTTCAGGAAGGCGGAGGGGCCCTCGTGGCGCCAGATCTTCCTGTTCGGGAGGGGAGGTCAACACACTGCCTGGCCCCCCAGCCCAGGCCCAGCCCCGGCCCTGGGACCTGGCCTACCTGGCACAGTCCAGAAACCCAGAGTAAGTGTCTTCATTGACACACCGCTGCAGTGACTGCAGCCGGGTCTTCACCACTGCAAGGGGCACAGGCGTCAGCACGGGAGCCCAGCCCTCGGCCCAGCCCCTCCCTGGGTCCAGGTGCAGCACTGACCATCACAGGGGTTGACAGCCACAGCGGCTGTACTTCCAGCTACACAGCCAGCCAGGAAGGATATGTAGAAGGGCGACTTCTCCTCAGATGCCGGGCGGCCCAGCTGGTCCAGGTTGGCAAACAGGGGGAAGTAGACGATGGAGAAGGGGACATCCCTGCAGAGAGGGGATGGTGGCGCCACTGCAGGGTGGGGTGGACACAGGCCGCCTCCACCCTTCCTGTCCTCCTACCTGAGTAGCGTGGCCCCCAGTCCCTTGTAGAGACCAGCGATGCCACGGCTCCGCAGTAGGTCTCGAGTCAGCTGAGTGGCCGTGGGCCGGGGTGCAGCAGGAGCCTCCACAGAAGGTGGGGCCCCCGCCTGGGGCGAGAGCTGGGCCTGGGCAGCCAGAATCTTCTTCTGGGCAGCTGGCGAGACAAGGGCTCTGGTCTCTTCCTCTGAGCTCAGAGCAGAGGACAGGCCCCAGCTGCTGTCCCTCCCCACCCCACTCCCCCAGGCCCTCACCAACTCGGCCTGCATCCTGGAGCTGGATCTTCAGCATCTCCATGGGGGTGGTGACAATCACTTGGCAGGTGCCAGCCCCACAGCCTGCCAGCATCTCTTTAGGCAGGGTCAGCTTCTGCCTGTGGGGTTAGGGTGTAAGGAGAAGTGGGGGACCCTGCCCAGCACAAAGGGAGGATGAGACCCCCAGCAGCAGGCACCAGGCCCAGGGGCCACTTGGGCAGGGGGCGAGAGGAACAGAAGTGGGAAGTAGGGATCTTGCATGTCCTAGGAGGGGCCGCTGGCAGCCCATGCTCCTTGACGGGGGAGCTGGTTGGTCCTCTAAATCCTAGCATCAGGCAGCAGCTGAGGACCAGGTACAGCTGACTCATCGCTGGGAGCCCCATGAACCCCCATGCAAGGGGAGGTGCCTCGAAAGGTCAAACAAGCCAGAGTGGGGCCTGAGGGCAGGAGAGCACTACACTGAGTGGATCCAGCAGCCAGGGCTGATATCCACGTCTACCCAGGCATTTGCCGTGGTCCCCCCCGCCAGGACTTGGCCCACAGGAGCCAGGCAGGCCAAGTTCCTCACCCGTCCTTCGAAAGCTGATGCCGGAAGAAGTCATTAGCTGCCAGCTTGATGGCTTTCTCTGGGGTGACCAAGGTCAGGTTCACAGCAGCTCCTGCAGGGCATTTCAGGGTCAGCAAGGCCTGGGGGATGCAGGCAGGCAGTACGTGGGGGAGATGACACGGTGTGCCTTGGGTTGGGGAGGCTCTGGGCCAGTGCATGCCTTCAGCTGGCAAAGCCCCATGTGCCTGCCATTCCTTGGCCACTGTGTCCTGCCCTCTCACCCACATTTGGGCTTGGTCTGTGCCAGATGGGGTGGGGACCAGGTGGGAAAGGGGGAGCACCATGGCCACCTCCTCCGTGTAGTTGTCCTCCCATGCTGGGCACCACCCTCCCATTCCTCTGCATCTCCTCCCCCACCTCCATCTGTCTCGGATGCTGACAAGACCCCAAAGCCATGGCAGGCCTCCCTGGGGATGCCTCCCTCCTGGGGGACAGCAGGCTCCTGCACTGGGGGCTGGGGGAACTCGAGGACACAGGTGTCAGATCTAGGGGAGGGGGTAGATAGCCCCTTCTCAACGCCAAGGCTTAGAGCTGTACAAGTGGGCAAATCCAGGCCTGGGACTGTTTTCTAAGCTGCTTTGCCTAATGCCCCTTTGCCTCCCAGACTCAGGCTCACACTGGGTCCTGCTTGTCCTGAGAAAAAGGGGAGGAGGGTGCAGACCCAGGGCAGTGTCCAGGCAATGGCAATGAATGGGGGCAGGGTGATGTCCAGATGGGGGACTGAGACCTGGGACCCCAGAGATCTGGCCCCTTCCCCTTCCCGCGGCACCAAGGGCCGGGTTGTGGCCCCAGGACAGATGCAGTCAGCACCCCAGGCACCTCCACACATACATACTAGGCCCGGGCATGCCTCTCTGCCCCACTGGCAGCCCATCCTGGCCCAAGCCTCACCTCGATACATGCCGAAGTAGCCCTCCGAGCGGATGGTCTTGATTAGGCAGTCAGACCTGTAGCCAATGGGATGGAGTGAGCCAGGGGCTGGCCAGCGCCTCAGTTCCCATGTGCAGATGTGAGCTGGAACCTTCCCCACCCATCCTAGAGCATCCAGGGCCCAGAGGTCAGGGCCCCTGGCCCCCCAGGCCTGCCCTGCCCTGTCCCCTTTGTCCAGCCCAGGGCCACAGGTGCAGAGCCCAACACACTCACATGCTGGAGTACATGCGCTGGCCATTCTGCTGGTTCTGCAGCCTCGTCTTGGCCAGGTCGATGGGGAACACGCAGGTGACCCCGATTAGTCCAGCAATGCCACCATTGATGAGCTTGGCTGGCAGGCTGTACGTGTAGGGGCAGGGTCAGGACCTCTTCCTCCACCACAGGTTGTGGGTGGGGTCTGGGTCTGGTGGGGGTGGGGCAAGCCAAGAGGGAAGGTGGGGGTCAAGGGGTCTGACCTGATCTGTTTATCAGCCATTTAACTCTAGCACCCCGGCAGGAGCAGCAGAGGCGGCCACCAGGTGGTAGGGGTGCTGATGACAGGGCAGGACAGGGGAAGGCGCGGCGGCGGCAGCGGTGGATAGGTGAGTGCTGGTGGGACCGAGGTGAGAGGCTGGACGACTGCAAGGGGCCAGCCGCCACTCCTGTGACAAAAGGACAGGACGAAGGGACAGGAATTAGTGGGGGGCAAAGCCTTGCTCCCACACTCATCTCACCAGCAGCTGCACCCCCAACCTGGAGCAGAGCCTCAGGGAGCCTGGGGATCCAGGAAGAGGGAGGGGCGGTGCCTGCCACCTGGCCCATCCCCGGGGCCACCTGGTTCCCCCTCAGCACCCGGCCCAGTGTCCTCCCTGCCAACTCGCACACACTGGGAGGCGCACACACTCATGCTCACGTGCACACAGGGCAAGCTCCAGCTTTTAAAGGGCCAGGCACCTCTGGGGGATCAGGCCCCAGCCTGGTGCAGGGGCAGCCAGCACCTGCAGTCTTTGGGATGGGGTATGGATCTCCTCCCTGATACCCCAGGACCACACCCTGGGCTGAGCCATGGCTGCCCAGATGGGGTTGGCCACCTCAGGGACAATCCCTTCCCACAGAAACTAAGATACCCACCACACCGGCCTGCCACCTACCCGTGGCCAGAGGGGCAGCTGGGGTACGGCGGCGCCTCAGTCCTGAGGCTGTCTCCCCACCCTCTCTAGGGAGGAGGGTAGGAGGCCTCTCCCAGCAGCAGCAGGGCTGGGGGCCAAGAGCCAGCCTCGGGGGCCTTCCAGGGGACACTCTCAGGAAAGTGGAGCAGTGGAGGCCTTGCAGCTCCCCAGGCCCTCCACGTCTCCCTCAGCACCTCAGAGGTCAACTGTTTCCAGCTTTGCAGCCCTCCCAGTCACCCAGCTGGCTCGCACGCCGGGCTCTCTGGGCGGAGACCTTCACCTGGTGTACTGCCTACCCCGCCTCCCACCCTCGGGTCCTGCTCACCCTGGGTGCACGGGCCCTCCAGGCTCCACTGCTCCAGCAAGCCGGCTCTACTCAAGCTCAACGAGGAGATAAGCAACCAGAAGGCGACAAGGGGCCCCGGGATTGGCCGAGGGGCGGGGCGGGGCGGGGCGACTTTCTCTTTCGCTTTGCTGGCTAGGGATCCCTGCATCCCCTGGAAGGGGAAGAGAGCCTTAACGCAGCTTCTTCGAGCCAGGATCCAGCTTGGGAGCCTGAATGGGGGAAACCGGGGCCTGACCTGGCTGACCCAGCATGCCAAGCCGCCTACCCATGGGCCCGGGCCCTTGGCTGCAAGTGAGTTCCTGGCTGCAGCCTGTGGGCTGAGCCCAAATCTGCCTAGGGCCCTGGCAGCCGAGGACTGAGGCTCTGGGTGCCAGCACCTTGCATGTGGGAGCACCTGAGGAGATGCTAAGTGCCCACTGGCTCTAGGCTTCCATGTACCTCAGTGACCCTCTTGCAGGGCATGAGAAACTCGTCTGCTGGAAAGGGCAGAGAAGGGATGCCAAGATATCCTGCTTACCTGGCAGGTCAGGTTCAGAGAGCATGGACAGCGCCCTTTGCCCTCTGCCCTGCCGCTCACACACCCAGCCACAGGGACACCTGGCTCTCCCGGCCCTGACCTCTGAACTTCAACCTAATCACTCCCTCTTCATCCTCTCCACTCCACCCCCAGCGTGTACACTGGACGCAGCCAGCTCTCCCTGGCTTGTGGAAACTGCGAGACCCCCAACCTGTACCCAGGCTCAGCCACTAGTCTAGGGTGGGGGACACCAGGATGCTGGGGGAGGGAGTCCTGAACTTAGATCCTCTTAAGTGGGCAGTGGGGAGGGAGAGACCGGCCTGGAGATAGCGTGGGCTGCGTCAGCCCTGCGCCCCAGGCCCTGCAGACCAGGCCCGAACGTGGGGAGGCCTGTGGAGGAGCTCAGGCTGGCACAACTCGCAAAGGGCCCCCCTGAACCCCCTTCCCCTCACTTTGTGGCTCCGCCCCTGCTCGAGCGCTGCCAAGGGTCCTCCAGGTTGCCATAGAAGCGTCAGTCCAGCAACGGCCCTGGATTCCCAGGGCTAAGCCAGTCCACAGTCCCAGCCATCTCGCCAGGTAAACTGAGGACGCAGGCAGAGACAGAGCAAGAGTGCACAAAGGCCGCCCGCAGGTCCAGGGCGGTCCAGGGCGGTCCAGACCCTGGGTGAGGCCGGAGGAGCCGGCAGGACCGGGCTCCACTCCTTTCCCGGCCGCGCATCCCTCCCTCCAGCCGGCCAGGCCCAGAAGGCAACCGGCTGGGGACAAAGGAGGGGCGCCGAGGCCGCGTGCTCCTCTCCGCCAGGCTTCGGCCCTGCCCACTGAGGCTGGGACCCGGCCGGCCTGGAGTCCCCGACAGGGGTCCCAGCCCAGCCCGTGGGTCCACGTGTGCGCCCCGCAGCCGGGCCTCCCTCCCCTCCTCCCGGCCGGGCTCCTCCTCGGGGACACGTGTGCGCCCGAAGCGCGCCTGGCGGCAGGGCCGAGCGCCGTGCACCGCCTCCCACGGCGGGCGGGGCATCCTTTGACCGGGGCCACGGCCCCCCACCCGCAGCCCCTCTCCCGCCGCACTCACGGCTCCGCCGCCACCACCGCGCTCGCCTCTCCGCGGAACGCGCGCCCGGCCCCGCCCGCCTGGCCCGGCGCACGCTTCGGCTCCCCCTGCCGGCCGCCGCTCCCGTCTGCCCGAGGGTGGCCGGCGCTCAGGGGTCTCCCTGGTCTCTGGACACCGCCCGCCCGGCGAATGGCCCCGGACACTCAGGGAAGAGGGGGACCTGGGCTGCACTGGCCACGCGCTGGTGGGCAGGCGGAGGCAGTTCTACCACCCAGGGTACGTGTGCCCACTCGGCCTCACCCTTCACTTCCGCTTTTGCGAAAGGGTCTATGTAGTTCAGGCTGGCCTTGAACTCACTGTATAGCCCATACTGGCCTCAGATTCAAGGTGATCCTTCTGCTTCAGCCTCACAAGTGCTGAGGTTACAGGCACGGAACACCGCGCCCCCCTCCAAACTTCACTTTGGAGAGTTCAGCTGACCCTCCCACCCCCGGGAAGACAAGACCAGGAGGCTCCGGGAGGGAAGGGCTGGAGCAGCCCTCAGGCTGGGAAGGGCCTCCTTCCTTCCAGCAGGGCTGGGCCTCCATCAGCAGGCCGTCCCTCCCTGAAACTGCCTCTCCACCAGACAAATAAACCAAACTCTGAAATGGAAGAGGGCACACTGCAGCTTGTTGCACAAGGGGTGCTGTCAGGGCACAGTCAGGGGCAGGGCAGTCAGGGCCAGCTCCAAGCCTGTGGCCTAGGCTGGCTCAGGCTCTTGGGGCTGCTAAGTGGAAGCGCCTGGCAGGGAAGGGTCCTTGAGTGCCAAGCCTGTGCGACGAATGCTGTCCTGGTACTTGTGGCGGCCAAGCTCCAAGACTGCCCGCACCTCATCAGCTATATCCCGCCGGTCACTCTGCTCCAGGGCCTGCACCAGGCGCCCCACTGCCCCAAGCTGCCCAGCCTGGCGCTCAGCCCAGGAGAAAAGCATGTGGCGAATCTGCCCGTCCAGGTCATCCCTTGGAGGAAAAGAGGGGTGGTAAGGGGAGTCCTGCCCAGCACTACCCACCACCCCTGGGCTCACTCCCCATGTAAGGGGGCTCCCCGCTCCTTGGGCCGCTGTGGCCAGACCCCCCCACTCCAGCCTGGTGCTGGTCCAGCTCCCACTTCCTGGGAGGGACAAGCACCACCCTCCCTGAGGGACAGCAGGGCCCACAGCCAGGGCCCCAGCCAAGGCCAAGGCAGCTGGAGGAGGGAAGCTCACCTGAACTTGTGCCGGATGCGCTCCAGCTCATGATACGGCAGGCCCAGGTGGAGGGCCACAGCTGGCCAGTCAGGACCCAGCCGCCCTGCCACACTCAGCAGGTTGCTCTGAGTCAGAAAGCCAGTGTCAGCGTCACCCAGGTTGAGGGGCACCAGGGAGAGGCCAGGCCCCTGCCCGTGCCCTGCAGACCTCCGAAATCTCTGTGTGGAGAGAGGTGCAGTGAGCCTGACGCCCCCGCCGCCCTGCTCACACTCAGGGCTTTCTCCTCCCCGCCTGCAGCTTGTCTCACCGGCAGCTTGATGGGCAGGGTGGCCATCCACAGGGCGTCCGCACCCTTCCTCCGCCGTGCAGCCTCGGCCTCCTGTGGCACCTCTGTGGGCACTGAGCCACGGTAGAAGGACACCTGAGGAGGACAGGGCGTTTCAGGGCTCTGGCCTCTCCCCAGGCAGCTGTGGGGGGGGGGGCACCTCATTACCCACCTGGCCCCGAACAGCCTGAGTCTCCCGGTCCAGGGAGGTGGTCACGTATACCTCCTTCATGTTTTTCAAGTGTGAGTAGAAGACAAAGCAGATCCGGCCCTCCACACAGTCTGGGCGATCTGGGGGTGGAGGACAGCTCAGCAGGGACTGTAGAAGGGGTAGACCCAGGCCCTCTTGGGACAGGGCAGCCTACCAGCATCCACTTCAATGCCCCGCTCGAAGGCAGCAAAGAACTTCTCGCCCTCAAACACCTCCACAGTGTCAGAAGGCTCAGGGCCTCGGTAGCGCTCCAGCAGCCGATGCAGGGTGGCATCGACCTGCAAGACACCACACAGCTTGGAGCCAGGGCCCTGTACCCCTGGCCTTTGGGTGACCCCCTCCGGTTTCCTGGACCCCACCTTGTTCCGGGGCAGGCACTGCAACAGCACCTGCTCGGGGTCCCGGCGGCGCTGCAGAGCGATGAGGTTGACCCGGTGAAGCCGCAGCCGCTCCCAGGCCTTGCGCGCCAGGCCCTCCACACAGGTCTTGGTGGTGTACCACAGCCAGTACCTGGGAGGGCGGGGTGAGGTGCAGCCGGACCGGCGCGGGGTGGGGGGGGGCGCTGGGGAGGTAGGAGGGCTACTGACCAGGAGAAACGTGTGACCTGGAAGCGCGCGTACAGGTGTGTGAGCTCCAGGGCCACCTGGGCTGTGATGTCATCCCAGTTGGCTGCAGGAGGGGCCCGGTACAGCAGGTGCAGGCGGGAGCAGTCCAGACTGAAGCCTGGACAGGAAGGGCAGCAGGCTGAGGCCCTGGCCAAGGCTCCCCTTCCAAGCATCATCCTCTCTAGCCCATGGCCACAGGTCCCTAGACTCAGCATGGCAGCCTCTCACCTGTGACACCAGGGGGTAGGGGCAGCTGCACGGTGACTGGGCAGAGGAAGCCAGCAGGGCTGTGCTGTGTGAGGCACAGCAGGGGGCTCACAGCAGCCTCAGGCTCACCCAGAAGGGCTCGCAGCTCCCGGCCAGCCATGCGTACTACCTGGACAACAGGATAGGGCCCTGAGCAACCCCCACATGCAGGGCTGTCTGCTACCCTGGGCACTGCCCCTGCTGCACCTGCATGGAGACATGATGAGGCTCCTCTGTGGCCCCTGGAGGGAAGATGACCTTGACTTCCGGATGACCCGAGGAGCACAGCAGTGTCCCCTCTGGCGGTACCAAGCAGGCATTGGACACAGGGCGTAAGACCACAAGGAACCAGGAGAAGTGGGGTACCTGGCAGCGAGCCCAGAGCCGCTGAGCGGCATTGGGGGACGGGGCAGAAGGAAACAGAATGAAGGCAAAGTTCATGGGCCAAGGAGATGGCCTCGGGTGGCTGCTCTGCCCCTCTGCCCACAGGCCCCGGTGCCCCTCACCTTTGGGGCCTCTTCCTCCAGGTGGGTCTCCAGGTCCCGCCAGCTGTCCTCACTCCGAGTCCTGACCACCACCTCACGGCAACGACGGGTCCGTGGCGGGACAAAGAGCAGCCACAGGCTCACATCCTGCTGGGTGACAGTAGTGTGAGGACCAGGGGCCAGGGGTCCTCTGCTCCCGCCCCCCACCCACTGGCCATGCCTGCTGGAAGGCCACGCCGTGTGGCCACAGCTCCAGGACACTGCTGAGCAGAGAGTCGTGAGGACCCAGGGAGACGAGTCTTGGCTCTGGCAGCCACAGCCGATAGTGGATGGTGACAGGGACTGCAGTGGCCCCGGCTGGGAACTGCAGGCGGACACCGCAGGCTAGCGTCACAGAGCAGCCTTGTGGGGTTACAGGGAAGCTGTGAGGAGAGGGTTGGTGAGGTCAGACACAGGAGGGCTGTGTGCTGGAGCCAGGAGACTCCTGAAGCATGGGAAAGATGTCCAGTGTGGCCAGGAAACAGGCCGGCTGTCCCCTCCCCACCCCATACCTGTTCACATCTGAAGTCAGGAACAGAGTAGGCATCTCCAGATCTTGGGGTATCCCTGTGCAGAAGGCAGACCAGCCCTCAGGATGCTGACAGTGCCCATGTCCTCTCTGTGGCTTGGCCTAGCCCTCCCCACACTAAGCCTACCTGAGGAGGTTGGGAAGTCTGGTGAGGCTTCGCCCAGGGGGTTCCCCTGCAGGCGTACACAGGGGACGTCCAGTAGCTCAGGCGTCAGGTTCCGGAGCTGGTTGTCCCTCAGATCCAGCTGTGTGAGCAACGGAAGGTGGGCCAAGCCAGCAGGCACTGAGGTCAGGAGGTTACTGTGCAGAATAAGGAGCTGCAGGGACTGCAATCCCACTGCAGGCAAGCACAGGCTTAGGGTCACTGAAGACCACTCAGGGCCTCCAAGGAAAGACCAAGCTGCACAGGGGGCCCCAGAGTCCAAAGGGGCAGGAGGGCAACAAGGAGGCAGCCAGGGAAGGGGGAAGGCTCATGCATGGTGAGGCCACAGTGCAGGGGCCCAGGTGAGGTTGCAGGCCTGGGCCATGGCTGCTACTCACCAAGGGAAGCTGGGAGGCTTTGAAGCCGGTTGGAGGCCAGATTGAGCTCACTCAGGTTGCTCAGGCCTCCGATCTCAGGAGGCAGAGTGTCCAGGAGATTCTCGGAGAGGTCAAGGCGCTGCAGGCTGGCCAGGGCCCCCAGTGCTGTGGGCAGCCTCTGTAGGAGGTTGTGCGTCACAGCAAGGAAGCTGAGGGTGGGCAGGGTCCCCAGGGCCTCTGGCAGCTCTGACAGGTGGTTGTAAGACAACAGCAGGGTGCCCAGGCCACGAAGCTGTGGGACACAGGCCGGCAGTGTCTCCAGGCTGTTGAAGCTCAGGTCCAGGTGGACCAGGCGGGTCAGGCCACTTAGGGCAGTGGGCAGCGTGGTCAGGGTGCCCCGGAGGCAAGCACCCAGGGCACCTCGGCTTTGTCCTCCTAGAAGTGAGGGAGGTGGATGTGGTCAGATGCAGGGTCTCAGCTGTGCCCTGCAGCCAGACAAAGCCACTGGAGAGGCACAGGCCTTCCTCTTAGCCCAGCCAGATAAAGAGGAGCAGAGACACCGGAGGGACACAGACACTGGAGGAACAAAGATACTGAGAGGCAGATGGAAGGAGAAGGGATGGAGGCCACTGGCTCATGTCAGCTGACAGCCTCACTCGTCACCACCCCAAGAGCAAGTGGGGTCTGTGAAGAGCCCCACTGGGTAGCCTCAGGGTTCAAGAGCCAAGGGGACCAGGGACAGGACAGGGTGCATATCTGGGGAGCAGGAAGAGAGGCCAGAAACAGGGTGGGGCTGGTGTTGCCTTTGAGAACTAAGAAGCAGAGGTGGGGGAGGCAGAGGTAGAGACAGGGACACCAGGCACAAGGGGGCTCACCTTTGAGGACGAGGGAGCGGAGGCACAGCTGGCTCCAGGGCACCTGGGCTAGGGTGGTCTCCAGCAGCCCAGGGTTCTCGTGGGTGCTCAGCTGCAAGAACTCCACCTGCAGCAGGGGTGAGGGCTGCTGGGCACACAGGTGCAGCAGCCGGTGGCAACCCCCAGGGTATAGGTCCAAATTCAGCCAGTTCCCAGCCAAGATAGGAGTCGGGCCAGGCTCGGCATCTGCAGCCTTCACTGCAAGTCCTGCCGTGTCTTCTGCAGCTCCCGCTTCCTCCGGCTCCAACCCCTCCACCACCGCAGCCATCGACCACCGACGGTCCTCCAGGGGCAGGCATGTCCCAGCTTGTCAGGCAAGCCTGCTCAGGCAGGGCCCAGGGAGGCTGCGGAGGCAGGCAACAGTGGGCAGCAGTGAGGGCTGGGGCCCTCCTCCCACGGGGTACCGGGACTGAGGCTGGAGGCAGGAGCCCTCGAGTCCTGCCATCTGACCCAGAGCCAGCCCAAGGCCTGGGCCGATCAGACTGGGGAGCCCCTGTGGTCACTGCAGTTCTGGGGGCTGTACCTCTGCTGGAAGAGAGCGGGAGCTAGAATCGCATGGCGGGGGAGGGGGCAAGCCAAGGAGATCCTGTGCACGTAGCAGCCGCCGGACAGCCTTGTGTGCAAGGGGGTAGGCTTGGGCCTTCCTGTTCTAATTCTGGAATTCGGCCAAGTGACTCCTAGAACTATCGGGTCATCGGGCTCCCCCTGCCCGAATCTGGGGATGGGAACCCACCTTCAACCTTCACACTCATCAGCTTTGGGACGCCCAGGACCTCATCTGTCCTGGGGGCGACAGGGAGAGCAGTGGGGGGAAAGGGCCACGGGACCCTACTTCACGGCCGGAGCAGGCGCTCCCGCAGCCGCTTTCACGTCACACGTAGGTCCGCCCGGGAACCAGGGCAGAGCACACTTAGGGGTCGCCGAGCGTGGGGGAGCTCCTCCCGCGTCCCTGCTCTGCGCGCCGGGCGCCGGGTTCCCGCCCGCGCCTGCGCTTCCGGGCAGTTAGGGACCGCCCCACCCCTCACCCGCCCCTCACCCGCCCCTCGCCGCGGGCCTCCACCGCGTCGGCAGCCTGCGCAGCTGCACGGGGGTCCGGCCCTGGCCCTGACCACGTGCTGTCCGCCTTCCCCCTCCCCCGCTCCCGGTTAGATCAGCGTCGCGGGGAAACCCACACTCCCGAAGCTCCTGGGTGCGAAACCCCGTCTGGGACTGCGTGGTGTGGTCCTAGATGGTGATACCAGGGCAGGGTTTGGTTTTTTGAGGGGGGCAACTGCTGCCCCACAGGCACCCCCTGCTAGATGCCAGCTCCAGGGGCCTCCTTTGTGGGGCCTCCCGGACCTCCTTAGACCTGCAGTCTCAGCTCAGACGACCCTCCTATGGGCATCGCTCCCCGAACCCCCCCACCCCGCGCCTCCCCCATGACTTGAAAAAGAGGAAAAGGACAAGGAGGCTCTGAGAAGTGAGATTTTGCTCAGGGCTCTGTGGCTGGTGAGTACCGAAGCTGGCACTTGCCAGGCCTCAGACCAGATCTCTGCCTTCCCACCGACTCAGCCCCATGGATCTGTGCCCCCCCATGTTATCCAAGCAGCACACTTGGACCGGATGTGAGCAAACACCCTCTCTCTCCTCCCGCCAGTTCTCCAAATTACATGGGTCAGTCCCTCCACCTGCCAGGCCTCTCTGTTTTATGTCTTTCACGCCCCTACCTCTTACTCAGTTTCCACAAAGCCGCCAGAGGAATATTTTTAAAAACCAATCGCAGGCAAGGTGTGGTGGTGTAGGTAGCTAGTTAGACATTAACAGGCATGAGGAGGGAAGGGGGTTCCAAAATAGCCTGCAGTGGTAATTAATTACAGAAAGACTCCAACCATGATACATGTATAATCATTTAGGCCTCAGACATAAAGGGACCACAGAGCACAATGATGTCTTCAGATCACACATGGTGCACACAATACCTGGCCACCTGGCTGCCTAACTCCAGAACAAGGTACACGGCATTCCTGGCTACCAGAGCCTACCGCTCACTGATATCAGGAAAAGAAATGTTCTTTAAAGTCTTTTTTGGTACTGGGGATCCAACTCGGGTCCTTGGGCTTTCGAAGCAGGCACCGGAACCACTGAGCTAAATCCCCAGCCCTGTGGAACATTCTTATAATCCCAGCACTCAGGAGGCTGAGCCAGGAGGGCCATTATGAGTTTGAGGCCAGTCTGGGCTACATAATGAAACCCTGTCTGTAAAAGTGGAGGAGGGGCTGGGGATTTAGCTCACTGGTTCCGCTGCCTACTTCGAAAGCGCAAGGTCCTGAGTTTGATCCCCGGTACCCCCCCCAAAAAAAGTGGAGGAGGAGGTGGCTCAGTGTGAAGGCCCTGGGTTCAGTACATAAAAGAAACACAACTCTGATACATGGTACAAAACAGATAAACCTTAAAAACATTACTTCAAATCAAAGAAGCCAAGTGCAAAGAGGCCATGTAGGCACTGGTGCAGTGCGTGGTTGCCATGGCATAGCTGCAGCAGCTCCAAGTGCAGAAGGCAGTGGACTCCTGGGTGAGAGTGTAGAGAGAGAGAACATCCAGGAGATGCATGAACCACATGCATGGCAGTGACAAAGCGAAAGATTCCAGGATCCAAGTAAGGACTCCAGGGGAAATGGCAGCTGGACAGCTGGGTAACTGTGGATGACCATATGAACCGCATTCCAACTATAACCAAGAAGATGGAGGAGTCTTTCTCATTCATTGGGAAATAAGTCTTGCCTGGACCCTGGTTCCTCTGTGTTTGGATAATAGAAGGTCAAATGAAAAAAAAACTGGTGCTAAGATTTAGGTCACAGAGAGCTAAGAGAGTGTTTTAGAGCCTCACTTTCAAGTGGTAAGACCTTATCTTGGTAGTAGAGATCTCCCTCGTACCAATCCAACGCCATCTGAAGTACTAGATTCTTCTCACTACACAGATGCCAAGTGATTGGCTGGCAGTTTCCTCTAACCTGCCTGTGACCTGGTGGAGTTGCAGATGTGTCTCTGTTTCTGTTTGTAGCCAACCTCTTTACCACAAGTGTCACCATACTATTTGCTATAACCTGTATAATAAAATCTAGGAAATTACTAATTTAGAAGGGGGGAAGGTTTCCAGATTTTTTTTTTTTGGTACTGGGAATCGAACTCAGGTCCTTGTACTTGCGCAGCAGGCAGCGATACCACTGAGCTAAATCCCCAGCCCTGCACCTTTTTTGAATTAATAAAGTTTATCCCATTCCCCCTCTCAAGTTCCCTCCCCTCCCATATGGCACCTTATCTTTTGCATGAGGACCATGTTATCTTATTACTTGAAATGACAATATAAACCGGGCATGGTGGCACATGCCAGTAATCTCAGCACTCAGGAGGTTGAGGCCAGCCTGTGGTACGCAGTTCAAGACCAGTCTGGACTACATAGTGAGACCTTGTCTCTAAAAAAAAAAAAACAGTAAATGGTTTGCATTATTTTACTCTTTAAAAAATCACTAGCTGTGTGCATCTGCCTGTAACCCTAGCTATGAGGAGGCTGAGGGCGAAAAATCACAAGTTGGAGGCAAGCCTGAGCAATTTAGCACGACTGTTTCAAAAAACAAACAACAAGGCTGAGTGTAGCTCATTTGGAGGACCCTGGGTACAGTTCCCATGAGAGAGTTAGGTTACAGGCTGGGGATGCAGCTTAGATGTGGATGCAGATCTAGGGCTGCTTAGCATGCTCCAGGAGTTGGTTTCCTACCCAGTCCTGGGGTACAGAAATCACAAGCTCACATGTCAGCTTAAACTATTCCTTGCCAGGATGGCCTCCCTACCCCACTCCAGCTGTGACCTTGAGCAAAAAACCCCCTGGTGTCCATCCTTCACACACGTGTACGTATACACACTGCCCAGACCTCTTGTGACCCTCTCACTCAACTGCCTTTATGTCCTTCCACAACAGCATAAATTCTGCAAAGGCATGGGCTGGTCTGTTCCCTCTCAGAACACCGGAGTGTAGCGGAGTTCCTGATGTGTGCGGACTTCATGTGAATACTGAGGTTAGTACCGGACCGACCGGGCCAGGTGGAGGCCGGTCACTCGGGTCTCGCCACTCCCAGGGTGCGGGAATAAACCGCTCCTAGACTACTGATGACGCCAGTTCCTCTGCGCCCCGCCTCCTGGGCTACCGCTCTCCTGGTGGGCCGCCCAGGTCCATGGGACACAGCGCGGAGGGTTTGCCTCCAGCAGGACCGCTTTTGTGGCTCGCCCGCTTGTCTGAGCCCAGCCAGACATGGCGCCATCGGCCCTCGCCGGAGGAGGTTGGACCGCTAGTTGCCGCAATAGGGACCCCTCTGAGATGCAGCCAGAGAGCGCGGACCACCTGCCAGGATCTTCCACCCCAGTCCACGTACCGCCCGCGTGAATCGGTGGCCGCTCACTTCCGGCCGCGGTGCACCATGGGATTTGCAGTTCGCCACCCAAGGATGCGTCTTGAGAGAGGCAACCGCGGTGTATGTTGGGAGATGCAGGCCCCTCGTGGCATGCTGGCGAACTAGTCGCTGGAAGGACGTGCCTTTCAGGTCGACAAGCCCGCCGCCCCATAGATTGAGGGGGACACTAGTTCCACGCTTTATGAGCAACGTCCATTTGGAACGGCTTTTCACTTTTGCCGCGCGACTTCCCGACTGGGGAACCGGACCACGGCTCTACTCCCGTCGTCATTGGCTGAGCGCTCCGTTGCGTCATTTGTGGGAGCCCTCGCGCAGCGCCGCACACGCCCGGAGGCTTTTGGGTAACGGTTTACCCCCGCCCCTTCTGCCGGCCTCTTCCTTTTGCTTCCCGACGTCGCAGAGGTCGCACGCGAGAGGCCTCTCTGCCGCCACCGCCGCCGAGTGAGTAGGCTCTCAGCGTTCGGGCGCGGGCGCGGGGTGAGCGGGACCCCCGAGGGGCCTCCTCGGGCGGGGCCTTGGGACTGAGCCCCACGTGGCCTCGCCCGGGCCGCCTGGTGTGGGCAGAAGGCCACCGAGATCACGCCGCCGCTTTCTCTTGGCCCGCCTTAGCATGCGGTACGTCGCCTCCTACTTGCTAGCCGCCCTCGGAGGAAACCCCTCCCCCAGCGCCAAGGACATCAGGAAGATCCTGGACAGTGTGGGCATCGAGGCAGACGATGACCGGCTTAATAAGGTAGCTGCCGCCCTGGGCCCCTGGCCCCCAACCCCCTGTGGGCTCGAATGTCTCATTTAGGCGGCCCCTGCGGAGTGTGACCCTGGATTTATCTTCTAAGAGATTGAGAGGCCTGCGCCAATCTAGGTGGCTAGCCAGTGGTCTGATAACCTGTTTAGTGCAGTTCTGACGTGTAACTTAAAATTCCTAAAAGCGAGCGGTCAGGGTGGTACACTCCTGTAATCCTAACACCGTGGGAGGCTAAGGCAGGAGGATCACAGGTTGGAGCCCCACCTGGGCAACTTGATGAGCCCTTATCTCAAAATAATAAAAGGGTTCTGAAAGTTTTATTCCTCATCCCCTTTTTTGGTACTGCCGGGGATGTAACCCAGGGCCTCGTGTGTTAGACAAATCTTAACCCAAGATAATTTCAGTGGTACTTTATTTCATCCAATATACTTGTTTGTACACATACCATAAGCAATGAAAGACCGTATATCCTTTAATCACTGCCACATAGGGATTTTTAGCAACTAGTTTCAGCTCCCAGCAACTCGAATCAGAGAATCCCTTTATAGCTGATGTTAACCAGGTTGGCCAGTACAGGTCAACCACTCCCCTCTGGTAACTGACTGCTGGCTGTGGTTGTCTACTCCAGGTCATCAGTGAGCTGAATGGGAAAAACATTGAAGATGTCATTGCCCAGGGTGAGTTTACCTGTTTTATTTTTATGGTCCATTCTAATTCCTGCGGGTCAACCCATGGCCTGCCAGGTTTCGCTTGTGGACCACAGCACTCTAGAAGCTTGACCCCGAGGGTGAGCAAGGCCTCTTGTGGGCTTATGCTAGAGGTGCTTCTGGACACTTTGATGAATGGGTATTCAGGGCTTCTGTGTGCTCTTACTTTACCTGCCAACTCTGGCATTTTGGGCCAGGCTCTTTTTATCCCCTTGTCCTTTTTGGAGCTTTGGGCTTCTTGTAAACAATTCATTGAATGCTTTCTGTGAATGGGTTGGGAGCAGGGACCAGGGGTTCCAGGGGTGAGCACAGGCTCCTGGATGCCTTTTCTGGGCACAGGGTTTTCTGGTGGCCCCAGGCTGGAGCGGGTGGGACTTGTTTGGACACTGATCTCTTACTGCAGCATTTCTGTTCTGTGCATGTGACAAGGAAGGCCAGCTCAGCAAACTGGTCCATGAGCTCACTGCTGTGGACAGCCATCTGATCACTGGGGTAGCAGACTCCCTGCTCAGCTGTGAACATGTTTGTCCAGTTTGGTGGGGGCCCCTCCTGTGGCTTCATTTCTGGAACCCAAGCTTCTAGATGGAATCCTCTCTCATGGAACAGGATGTGGGGGATTTCCTGCCTGTGTATAGGGGAAATAGCTTCATGTCCTGGGAGAACAGGGGGTCCTGTGACAGTGCACTGTGATGGTGATCTGATTTGTGAGCACAGTGCTGTACCTAGTGAAACCAGCTTTCCTGGGTCCCAATCCCTGGCGGGCACACCTCTCTAACCTCTGCTCTCTGCAGGCATTGGCAAGCTTGCCAGTGTGCCGGCTGGTGGGGCTGTGGCTGTATCTGTTGCCCCTGGCTCTGCAGCTCCTGCTGCTGGTTCTGCCCCTGCTGCAGGTGAGTGGAGGCTGGTGAGTGGTCAGAGGACTGAGTCTTAGACCCTTGGACTGACGGGGTTGGGTCTGGCTGGGCACTGTGGGCAGTGCTCATCATGCTCTTCTCCCCACAGCAGAGGAGAAGAAAGAAGAGAAGAAGGAGGAGTCCGAGGAATCTGATGATGACATGGGATTTGGCCTGTTTGACTAAACTCCTTCCCCTTTACAAATAAAGCCTTTTTGTGTATCTTAAGCAGCCTGTGAGCACTTTTTGTCAGCTGCAGGGCACCTACACTCCTTGTATGCAGACTGGGGCAAGTGGGGCTGTGGCTAAATGGGGAGGAATAGGACCTGCCTGGGCCACTTCTTGTGGGCCTTAAGCAGGGTCCTGGCCCAAGAGGACCTTCAGGCCCAGAGCAACGCAGCATCTTGCAGCTTTTAGGGAGAACCAGGCCAGCTTTGGTTGGAAATGTGGGCAGCAGAGGATGAGATGGAGGGTTTGGGTGGTGTCCAGGGCTCTGCTCAGGTGCTTAGTGCCTAAGCAGGGGTGAAGTTGGCTGCCCCAGGTTTCACAGATGAAGGCACCTGTTTAGGCCACCTTGAGAGTGGAGTCACCCTGCAGCTGTGGAGGTGGCCTGTGGGCAGAGGGCCAAGTGCTTACTGTTACTGGGTCCTTCTAGGGTGTTCTTCCTACAGGCTCTGGCTTAGGATGTGGGGCTGAGGACAGACAAGTTGTATCCCTCCTGTTTCCTGTGTCCTTCCCCAGCCTCTGGCACTGAGTGGCCATGGGCAGGGCCTTCCTTACGAGTAAATTCCATACCACCCCGTGGGGAGAGCCCTGGAGCTGGGAGTAGTTCCAAGAGGTACATACAGGCTGGGGTCACTGAAGGTCCTGAAGTGGGAGGTGTCATAACTTTGCTTTTTCTGAGTGGTGCTGGGGATAAAACCCAAGGTCTTGTGTTTGCTGTGCTAGTACTACCACAGAAATGCACCCCCAGCTCTGAGCTGCATTTCAGATACGCTCTAGTTGTCCTAAGGGACAGGGATTAGGAGGGTAGGAGTGAAGCCCGGAGGCCTTGGAGGAAAAAATTAAGGTCCTGGTAGGGCCTTGGTGCCAGGCAGTGAGCTGCAGAGACTGGGGAGCCCCAGGCTTCTGGGCACAGCAGAATTCCAAGGTGGACCCCAAAGGGAAAGCTGTACTGCCCTGCATGCCATAGGCATGAGGGAGGGGCACTGCCTGAAGACAGGGTGTCTGGGGTTCACCCTGACAGGAGTGGTGCGGTTTCCAGGAAGGCCCTTCCCTGTTCTGGCTTCTGCCCCTCTGGCGCCTCAGATTCCCAGGGGGCCTAGGAGATGTACCAAAAACAACCCAGCCCTCTGTGGAAATAGGGACAGAGGTCCCCTGATCTGGAGCAATGCCACACCCGAGCCTGCCCTTGGAGCCAGTGGGGACTTCTGGCTTCCCCCTTGGTGGCCACTCCAAGGAGCCTTGGGGGGGTCTCCTTCCCCCTGTGCCACACACTTGGAGCCTGGATCCTGCGAATCAGGCTGAACCCTCACCCCACTCCTTCCTCAGTGGGTTTGCCACCCTGGGCTGGCACCAAGGTATTTGGGGGCTGTCCTACCTGCAGAAAAAAGGAGGGGTCTTTCAGGCCCAATGGGGTCCCAGCCTCCTGCTCTGCCCTCCTCAGTCCCCTACTCCGGTTGCGTTGGCTTGGTTGACGCTGCTCTTGAGTCCCTCGGGGCTCAGCTCGGTGACCCCTCCCCAGGGAAGCCCATGACCCCAGGGCACCAATCCGGCCGCCTTTCACTCCCCTTTGTGCTCCCAATGGGCCTGGCAGGGCTGATCTCAGGGCTCTCTGCCTGTTTCTTCACTAGGTCCCCTGAGTAGGGGGCTGCCGGAAGAGAGGCCGAGGACCAGGCAGGAGGATCCCACGGCATGCCCGCAGCCCTGGCTCCTGGATGGAGCGCTTCTCGAGGGAGGCTGACCCAGATCCCGGCCTCCCAGTCAGCCCTGCAATCCCAGAAAAATGCGGAAGGGGGCGGAGGGTGACATCACCAGGCAATTAGACGGGGAGGAGCGGGGAGGAGCGGCGCGGCCGTCAGACCCCGCAAACCCGGTCCTGAGGAGCAGCTCCGACCTAGGTGCGGCCTGGTGAGCGAAGGGCCAGAGGGGACGCGGAGGATCAGGGGCCGTCCGTGGGAGGGTCGGTGGGCCCCGAGAACTAGCCCAGGTGGCTCAGGTTCTCGGGGCCCGGTGGTGACTGTCGCAGGTGCCTGCTTGAAGCGAGCTCCTTAGTGTTGGGTGGGTGTTGCAGGCGGACGCGGACATCAAGACCCGGCCCTCGTAGGTACCCCGGCTGCGGTGGGGCCGGCAGGCAGCGGCGAGGGACGCGACCTAGGCCGGGAGGTTCCCGGGCTGGCGGGCAGGTGGCAAAGCCCAGAGGGAGTCGCGGTCCGGGCCGAGGGGCGGGGCCTGAGGGCGCGGCCGTTCTGTGCGCCCTCTGGTTGGTCTGCGCCCTCAGCGCCCGGCCCGCTTCAGGCCCCTCCCATCCGCGCTAAAACACCTCCCGGCCACCGAGCCCAGGAGCGTCTCCGCCTTCGCCGGCGGGGACCAAACGGGATAGAGAGTCGAACAGCCACCAGCGAGGCCTGGAGCCGCGATGTTCCCCCGGGAGACGAAGTGGAACATCTCGTTCGCGGGCTGCGGCTTCCTCGGCGTTTACCACATCGGCGTGGCTTCCTGCCTCCGCGAGCACGCGCCCTTCCTGGTGGCCAACGCCACGCACATCTATGGCGCCTCGGCTGGCGCCCTTACGGCCACGGCGCTGGTCACCGGGGCCTGCCTGGGTGAGGGACTGGGCCAGGCCTGGGGGTCCGGGGGCGGGGCGGAGTCGGTGTGTTGTGCTCCGAGGGTGCCCGCGGGGAGAAGGCTGGGGTTGGCAAGTGCCTCGGTCCCGGTAGAAAGAGAAGATGCCCGTGGGCAGGACCAGAGCCGGGACTGCCTTAGTCGCCCCCGCCCCCGGGCAGCATTCACCGCCCCTGGAACTTCGGAGTTCTAGGCTGCAGTGGCCATGGCCGGTCCCTAAGCGCGGGAGTCTGCTGGGAGCTTCTGGGCCCTGTAGCTTGGTGCCTCCCAGGGGTCCCTGGAGGAAGAGCCCAGCCAGGGTCCTGGCTGGAAGTGACCAGCAGCCTACTGCCCTCTCCCGGCCCGTGCCCTGCCGGCCTGGCTCCCCAGCTGTGACTGGCCCTTCTGCCCACCTCACTCGGTCGGAACGCCAGGGTCCAAGTGCACTGGGCTGGGCCTCTGTCACACGCAGGCGCCCAGACACGTGCGTGGTGTTTACAGCACACAGCGTCCTCAGGAGTCCAGGGAACTGCTGCCCCGCCCCCACCCCACTAGGTCAGCCAAGGTTGACCGGGTGTTCTGCCCAGGGCGAGTCTGTCCAGGGTTCTCCCCTGCCTCCTTTCTGTGACCTCTACCTCAAGGGGGAAGGAGAGAGGGACACAGCTGTAGTTCTTGACCTGAGATTCACTTCTGTGCTCCCGCCCCCCTGTCTCAATAGAGGTCTTCAGACTGGTGAGTGCAGTCAGCCCTCTGGCCTTAGGACACCCTATGGGACTGGGCCCAAGTCGAGGACATCATTCCCACAGAGCTCCCACCCTCTCAGCAAGCTGCTTCCCAATAGGCTTGGGCATCCAGAGATCCCATCGTGTGGCAGGTGCCCCCTTCTGCCCAGGAGGGACGTTGAGGATATGGCCCTCAGCTTTTCCTCCAAGGCCCTCCTCTCCTTGGTCACTCCGGCATTGACCTGGTCAGCACCCAGGAGCCCCTGAGAGAGTTCTGGAGTGCCTGCCCTTGGTCAAAGAGGGCCACAGTTTTGTCTTCCCAGAAGATGGGCCCACTGGTTGCAGCCAGCTGGCTGGTCTTTGTGCACCTGGCCCCCTGCTGGATCTAGCCAAGTGGGTAAAGGCTGAGCCTGGTCAGAGTTGAGTCTCTGCCTTCTCCCTGTTCCTGGGCTGTGTGCCATGCCAGGCCTAGTGACTCATGGGGACAGGCAGATGGAAAATACCAGGCAGAGTACAGGTCTCAGTCCCAGCCAGCCAGCCCTCTTTGCCATTTCCATGGTGGCAGCCTCCTTTGCTGTACCTAGGGACAGGTGGGCCTAGCCCTAAGCCTTCAGGTCAGTGGGGATGCCACAGATGTTTACACTGTGGGACCCCAGGTATGGAGCCACAGCACAGGGGTGCTAAGCCCAGCAATGCTGGAGCCTGACTTGGGCCTGCTGTGCTAGGCGAGGCAGGTGCCAATATCATTGAAGTGTCCAAGGAGGCCCGAAAGAGGTTCCTAGGCCCCCTGCACCCCTCCTTCAACCTGGTGAAGACTATCCGGGGCTGCCTACTGAAGACCCTGCCTGATGATTGCCACGAACGCGCCAGTGGGCGCCTGGGCATCTCCCTGACTCGGGTATCGGATGGCGAGAATGTCATCATCTCCCATTTCAACTCCAAGGATGAGCTCATCCAGGTGAGCCCAGTGGGCCTCTCTGGGGGCACAGGGTGACCCTAAGGCCCCTCTCACCTGTCCCTCTGCCCTGCCTGCAGGCCAATGTCTGCAGCACCTTCATCCCTGTGTACTGTGGCCTCATCCCTCCCTGCCTCCAAGGGGTGGTGAGTAACTCTGCCCCACTCTGCCCCAGCACCTTCTGGGGATGGTGGGAGTCAGCTGCTGTCTGGGTGGGACCCAGGGTGGAGGGCCTGGGCCTCCCCCTGTCCCCCATTGCCTGTTGCCTCCATCGCTTCCTGTTACTCAAGAGGCAGGCAGGCAGGCAAGTGGCCCTGGGGAGATGTGCACTTCCTGTGGTTGCCCCCGCAGAGGTCTGGCCATCTGCTTGGGGCCCAGGCTGGCCGGTACCCAGTGCCTAGAGGGTGCAAGGTCCAAACGAAACAGCCACCGAGGGGCAGCCAGCATGCCCCTCACTGTGTGACTGTGTCTCTGTATCCGTGTGTCCCCGCAAAGCGCTATGTGGACGGCGGCATTTCAGACAACTTGCCACTCTATGAGCTTAAGAACACCATCACTGTGTCCCCGTTCTCGGGCGAGAGTGACATCTGTCCCCAGGACAGCTCCACCAACATCCATGAACTGCGGGTCACCAACACCAGCATCCAGTTCAACCTGCGCAACCTCTACCGCCTCTCCAAGGCCCTCTTCCCCCCAGAGCCCATGGTGAGGTGCTGGTGTCCGTGGCTTGGTCAGCCTGTACTTGCAGAGCAAAGGGCAGGAAGGTACCCAGGGCGGGCAGGGGTCCTGTGGCCTCTTCAGAGCCCTGGGCAGTGCTGTGGCCTCCATACCTCTCCAGGGCCCGCAGTGTAGCGGGTCTCTCCCATTCGTATCTTGTGCTGGGTCCAGGACAGCTTGGTGGTGGTTGGTCGCAGGGTGGGAGCAGAGTCATGTTTGCAGGGACTCTAGGGGACAGAGCAGGCCATACCTGAGTCCCTCTGCCGCAGGTGCTTAGAGAGATGTGCAAGCAGGGCTACAGGGACAGCCTGCGCTTCCTGAGGCGGAACGGTAGGTGTGGCGCGCGTGCGCCAGTGGGAGGAGGCTCTGCACTGCCCCCTGCGGGCCGGCCTTGGGTACGGGGACTCATCCTTGTCTGTCGCCCCACCTCTACTCAGGCCTCCTGAACCGGCCCAACCCCCTGCTGGCGCTGCCCGCCACCCGAGGACGTGGGGAGGAAGACAGGGAGGAGGCCAGCGGGGGCGTAGAGAGCAGCGGCACTGAGGAGCGACTGCTGCCACCCGGTGAAGACCACATCCTGGAGCATCTGCCCTCGCGGCTCAATGAGGGTGCGCGGGGAGCAAGGAAGGACAGGGATGCGGGGACACAGGTCCTGGGTGACCCTGGGCTCGCCGCGCCCTCTGACCGGCCCCAATCTCCTCCCCGCAGCCCTGCTGGAGGCTTGCGTGGAGCCCAGGGACTTGATGACCACACTGTCCAACATGCTGCCTGTGCGGCTGGCCACAGCCATGATGCTGCCCTACACTCTGCCGCTGGAGAGTGCGGTGTCTTTCACCATCCGGTGCGCAGCAGAATGGGGTAGGGGAGGAGGTGCTGAGGGCAGAGGGCTGGGGTCATTGTGGGCAGTGGTGACCCCAGGAGCCCCCGGGGGACCTGGCTGCAGGCCTGACCCTCAGCTCTCCCCAGCCTGCTGGAGTGGTTGCCTGATGTGCCCGAGGACATCCGGTGGATGAAGGAACAGACGGGGAGCATCTGCCAGTATCTGGTGATGCGCACCAAGAGGAAGCTGGGCAGTCACCTGCCCTCCAGGTGAGCCGCCTGACTGCCATATTCCCGGGCTCAGGGCCTCAGGGGCCCCACTGAAGCCCCTCCCCCCTCCCTCCTGCAGGCTGTCTGAGCCCACTGAGCTTCGTCGAGCTCGGTCATTACCCTCGGTGCCGCTGTCCTGCGCTAGCTACTGGGAGGCACTGCCCAGCTGGGTGCGCAGCAACCTCTCCTTGGGTGATGCGCTGGCCAAGTGGGAGGACTGCCAGCGCCAGCTGCTGCTGGGTCTCTTCTGCACCAACGTGGCCTTCCCACCGGATGCCCTGCACATGCGCCTGCCCGCGGACCCGAAGCCTGCGGACCCCAGGGCTCTTGACCCCAGGCTCCCCCAGCACCCACCAGGCCTGCCCCCATGCTGAGCATGCCCACCTGCCCTGCTGGGCCCCACAGCTTCCCTGTCCGGGAGTTTGGCTGCACTGGGCCGATTAGCCCCCTGCCTCTCCAGTTACCACTGCAGAATGAGAACTGAGACCCTTCACTGTAAAGAGGGGGCTCTGCCATACACCCTCAACCACACACTTGCTGCTTTGGGTGGGGAGCTCGAGTTATTTGTGCCTTAGTCCTCTCCCCTGCCTGCCCCCTCCCCGTGCAAGTTTCTCCTGAGAACCTCACACCTGCACCACCCTCCTGTTTTTCTTGTTTCGCTGAACAGTACGTGTGAACAATTATTTATTTTCGCCAAAGAATATATACTAGAACACCACAGCTCAACTTTTGTCTCTTTTACTTCTGGGGGGACTGTACCAGGGAGTGAACCTAGGGCCTTCACGATGAGCTACATCCTCAGCCCCTTTATTTTTTCTTTTTTTGGAGTCAGGGTTTTGCTAAGTCCCTGTGTTGCCTAGGCTGGGCTTGAACTTGTGATTTTCCTGCCTTGGCCTCCCAGAGTGCTGGGATGGCAAGCATGCAGGCACCATTGTGCTCTTGTTGCCTTTTTCATGTCCATGTGACTGCCCTGCTTTGCTTGGGGATATGGTGTTCAGAGCCTGCTCCTCCCAGCTGGTCAGTGTCTCTGCGACTGCTTGTCAGGTCTGCCAGGTTGTACTTCTGGGCCTGGCATCTGGGGCTTGCCAGCTCAGCTGGGCTGAGTTTCTCCCCGTGCCCTCTGCTTGATGAGGACACAACTGTCTGTCCCCCACTTTGCCCTGAGGCCACCTGGCTGACTCTTGTGCACAACTTTCCAAGGGCCAATAGAAATATTTGGGAAAAAGAACTAGTGTTTACAAAAGGTGTCACCACACAATGACACAGTGGGCGTGGGTGCACTTCAGGGCTGGACACTGGAGGGGCCTCCTGCAGCTGAGGGCTGGGGACTTGGGAGTGTCTACCCCACGTCACCATGGCCACTGCACAAAGTTCTGTGCTTGCTCTTCCCTGTGGCCAGGCTGCAGCGGGTGGGGGAATGTGCCTTCCTACCCACCCACCCCCATGTCTGTCACTGTCCGCTACCAGAACCTAATAGTGGGGGTTGGGCTCCAGGACCAAGGAACTGCTAGCCAAGGGCAGTGTGCCTGTCCCAGGACAGTTTCCTGGAGTTCTTTGCCAGAAGGAGACAGTAGGAGTGGTAAAGACCTGTGGGTGACGGGTGCTGGTGCCAGCCACAGGCTCAGCCCCTGCCCGCCCCTCCCCCCGGGAGGTGTGGGGTGCTGTTGTGGCACCCCCAGCCAACAATAACGGTTGTGGGAGCTGGGACAGCAGGACTGGATGAGCCGGCCGGGCAGGTCTTGCCCTGGTGCAAGTTTCCCCCATCTCCAGGTCCTGTCCTGTACGCCCCTGTCTGTTGTGGTTCTGCCTGAGCAGAGGCAACACCGGCACCACGGCTGATGCCGGCGGTGGGAAGCAGGCCAGTGTCCAGGTGGGTTTGGGTGTGGGCTGGGTAGAGGAGGGGCCCCCAGGACGGGGGAGGGAGCCCCATCCCAGCAGGAGGGCTCCCAGCTGTGCCTCCAAAGGGAGTGCCTCCAAGGTGACCTCTCTGGCCCGCTCACTCCGGTCACACAGGGGCTTGGGGCTTAGTGCTGCTAGGGGCACTTTCTAGGGTAAGATTGTACTGTTTAGAAATTAGACCAAACAGAATTGGAAGTGTGGAGAAGGAAGTCTCTCAGCTCTAATCACTGAAGGCATCTGGTCTATTTCCAGCTGGCTTTTTCCTGTGCACCTTTTGGCACCTGCAGCCTGGAGGACTCGGGGTGTTTTGGGGAAGGGGTGGCTGGTGTCTGAAGCCAGAAGCTGAAATCCTGCGGCAGAGGGTCCCTGGTTGGGGGGTGGGGGTCTCGGTTCATCACTGCCCCTCCGGATCTGCCAGGACAGCCACTTGGGCTGCCAGAGAGGGGGGGCGGGGTCCAGTGGGGCGGGGCGTGTGCTTCCCAAGAGCAGTGCAGGTGCAGCAGCTCGGCTGGCAGGTAGGCACTGTAGCCCTAGTCCCCACTGGGCTGATGCCTCTCCTCAGCCAGGGACCGCCGGTGGCCCAGGCTGGTGGCCAAGGTGCAAGGAGTCGACCTTGGTCTTCCCTTCCTGGCTTTGGCCACCGCTCGGCTTCCTGCAGGGGGGACCTGGGTCCCGGGAGCCCGAGAGCCACCAGCGGGTAAGAGGCAGAGCAGGGCAGCCACCGGTCCTGCCTGCCCCTCCTCTGGCCTGCTGGTGCCGAGACCTGCTCTCTCCAGATTGCCCCTTCTGAGTCCTAGTGGGATGGGTGTAGCTCTGGGAAAGCCAGGGTCGGAAGGCAGTGGCAATGGCAGAGGCGTGTGACTATGGGTGGGGCTCATTGGAGGATGTGGAGGAGGCGCAGGAGGATCCGGGACTAGACTGGAGGGACAAGTCAGGGGAGGAGGTGGTAAGTCCAGAATCTAGGGGTGCTGATAAGGGCTGCTGGAGGCACCCAGCACTGGCCCAAGGCTGGAAACTTGCACCTGCACTGTGGGGCCTGGGAGCCAGGTGGGAGGAGTTCACCTCGACTGCCAGCTGTCAGGACGCCAGGGTATATCACAGGCCTGGCCAAGGGAGGAAGACCCGACCAGGACTGGCCCAGGCCTTCTTCCTGGTCAGGCCCAGCTTGGGGCCCTAAAGCTCCAGGATGTGGTGGGGCCTCTCTCACCCCAAGGTTTCTCCCCTTTCGGCCAGGCACCAGTCTGCCCCTCACAAGGGCTCCTGCAATCAGCCCTGGAGACAGATGTCCCAGCTCTCGCCCTGCACTGCTTCACCCTAGGCTGCAGCTGTCCTCCAGCCCACCGGTCAGTCCCCAGCTGTGTCACCGGACCCGGCCTGTGATTGCCCAAGCCTGCAGCACACCCTACCCCACCTCCACCACACCTTCTTCCCAGCTGGAGTAGGAAGGCCTGACCCGCACTTGCACCCCACCCCCATTTCTTCCGCCCTCCCTTGGCTCCGCAGTCCCCATGGCCAGCCCTGGGAAGCCCGGGGCTGTGGAGGCCCAGGAGGAGGAAGAGGGGGAGGAGCCCTCTGCAGGACATGGTGGAGCAGTGCTGCAGCAAGCCCACGAGCTCTTTTTGCTGTGCGACAAGGAGGCCAAGGGCTTCATCACCCGGCAGGACCTGCAGGTGAGCCCCGGGCTCGGGACCCAGCCACCAGGGCTGGCCCAGCGCTCACCTGCTCTCTGCCTGGTCAGGGCCTGCAGAGTGATCTGCGCCTGACCCCGGAGCAGCTGGAGGCCGTATTCGAGAGCCTGGACCAGGCCCACGCTGGCTTCCTCACTGCCCGAGAGTTCTGTCTGGGCCTGGGTGAGCCAGGCCTCCCTCCCCTGACCCTCCCGGCTTCTGCACATAGGCACCAGGGGGTCCTGCTGCCCCATGTGTGACCTGACCTTCCCCATGCTCCCCCTCGCCCTCGACAGACCCAGGTGGGGCTGGGACCCCGCTGTCGCCACCCATTCCCAGGCCAGTAGGACCAGAAGGAACAAAAACAGGAAACCGGGCCTGGGAGCGGGCAGGACGTGTGCGCCAGGGTGGGGTGGCGGTGGTGTGTGGTGCCAGTGGTGGTGGGCGGAGGGGTGGGCACTGGAAGGCCAGGGTGGCACAGCGGTCTCTAATCTCTTCCGTGGTCCCAGGGAGGTTTGTGGGCCTGCAACCGGCTGGGGGAGCGACCTTCTTGCCAACTCCCGAGGAAACCTTCGAGTCGTCAGATGTGCGAGGCCCCGGGGACTCCCTGGAGGAAGAGGAAGATGAGGAGGATGTGGAGCGGTTCTGCGCCGTGCTGGAGCAGCTGGGGGTGGCCCGGGTTCTGGGCGAGTGAGTGGCGTGGCAGCGGCCTGGGCCTGGGCCGATTCTCTGCCTGTGGCCTGCAGCCCTGGGCCTCACCAGGCTGGGCCAGGCCCAGCCGCCCCGGGCTATCTGCTGGGAGCGCCCGGGGCGTGATTTCCTGCAGAATTTGCATCTCGGGCAGCTTCAGCCGTGGGTGGGGCGGGCAAGGGGTCGCACACAGGCCCAGGAGGGATCGGCGCCCGGGTGGAGAGAGCCTGTCCGGCCGCGGGCCTCACCCTGTTGCCCGGTGCAGGCAGCGCGCCGTGAGGACGCTCTGGGCCCGGCTACAGCTCGAGCGGCCAGAGCTGCTGGGCTCCTTCGAGGACGTCCTGCTGCGTGCGTCCGCCTGCCTGGAGGCTGCGGCCCGGGAGCGCGACGGCCTGGAGCAGGCGCTGCGGCGGTGAGGGCGGTGAAGCCGGCGGGGGCGGGGTCGGCGGGGGCGGGTTCAGCGGCAGCGGCGGGTGCTCACGGCTGTCGCCCGGTCCCCAAGGCGGGAGAGTGAGCACGAGCGGGAGGTTCGCGGCCTCTATGAAGAGCTGGAGCAGAACCTGCAAGGGCCTCGACCGCGAAGGCGGAGCCAGGTGGGACCCCACTGCCTCTGCCTGCCCAGAGTCCCGCCCTCTCCGAGCCTCGGACCCCGCCTGCGGATCTTCTCAGCAGGGCGCCAAGGCTCAGGTGCCTCGTGCGCTCCCAGAACCCGCCCCGCGAAGAGCCGAGGGGCCGCCTGGAGCTGGAGCTGCAGAGCCGCGAGCAGGAGCTGGAGCGCGCGGGGCTGCGGCAGCGGGAGGTGAGCGCCCCCCCCCTCCCCGCTCACCCCGGCTTCGCGTCGTCTACCCCTAGCTGCGGGGCTGGCGATGCACACGGGCCTCTCGGCAGTGTGCTGGCCGATTCCGCAGCTGGAGCAGCAGCTGCAGGCTAGGGAGGCCGAGCAGCAGGAGGCACAGGCCCACCACTCGCAGCTTCGGGGCGCCTTCGAGGCGCTGCGCGCGCAGCTGGAGGGGGCGCAGAAGCAGCTCCGCCGGCTGGAGGGCGAGGCGCAGGCCCGCCGCGAGCAGATGCAAAGGTGCGCGGGAGGCCCGGCCGCTCCCCTCCCAGCCCAGCCCCGGGCCCAGTCCTCTGCACTCGTCACACCCCCATCCCCAGGGACGTGATCGTGGTCTCCAGGAACATGCAGAAGGAGAAGCTCAGCCTCCTGCGGCAGCTGGAGCTTCTCAGGTGCGCTCAGGCCCGGCCCGGAGGGGCTCCCGGATGCGGATGCTCTCGGCCTCCGCCCCACGCTGCTGGGAGCAAGGCCTTCCTGGGTCTGCCCTCTTCTGGGCTGAGGGAGCGGGGCCCACCTTCCCCCATCCTCCCTAAACCCCGTCGGAGCTCAACTGCACACCCTCCCCAGGGAGCTGAACACACGGCTGCGGGACGAGAGGGACGCCTGTGAGGCCGGGCTGCTGGGCACCAGCCACAGGAAGGCCCTGGACACCGCGGGCCTGCCGGGACCCGCCTGCTGCTGCTGGGCTCGGCCACCCCGACGCGGCTCTGGCCACCTGCCCAGTGCCCGGTGACCAGACGGCCTGGGCCACCGCAGGAACTACCACTTGTCTTGGGTGTGGGTTGCCCACCCAGCACCCCCTCTAGAACTGACCTGTGGGTGGTCAGGGCCGCAGGGCCTCGCGTGCCCCTGCCGCCCTAAACTCTGTCCAACAAAAAAAAAAACAAAAGCCTTCAGCCCAATAAAGCGCGCCTGCTGCACTGTCAGGGCCCCTTGAGCTGCCGCACTGGGCTTCGGTCCCTGTGCGAGTCCTCCGTGTCTCTGGTCCACGCCCTCACCGTCCGTCAAAGCCGAAGCCCTGCGGGCACGGCTCTTGCTGAGGTCCTGGTTCACCCAGGAGCACCGGGCAGGGACTGTCGGCTACCGGTCCGCTCTAGCCGCAGGCAAGGCCTGACCTTTGGCCTCACCCCAGCCCCACGCCTAGGCCTCGAGCCCTGCAGGCTAGGGACGTCTGCGGAGGCCGCGCTCCTCCGAGCCTTCCACTCCACACTCAGCGGCGCTAGCCGGTCTCCGCCCGGCCCGCTCCTGTCCGCCCACCCCTGAATCCTCCCAGAGGTTCCTGGGGGTGGGCTCTGGCTGGGGGGCGCGGCCCTCCCCCGGCACTGCCTCCTGTGTCTCGTGGTGGGCGCCACCAGGCCGCAGTTTCTCTGCCCGAGGAGCCTCCCACCACCCCACCTGCGCCCGCGCGGGTCCGGACCTGCCCAGGGCCGCCGGGCTGTGGGAGGGGCCTTGACAGGGCGTGTCCTCTTGCGGGGCCGGGCTTTCAGGGGCGGGGCCAAGGCGGGGCGTGTCCTCCCAGGCCCCGGACGCGCATTTTCTGCATTCAGAGCTGCCGCCTCCGAAGCGCCGCGGGGCCGGTGAGTGCGCGGCGGGTGGGTCCCGGTGCCTCCGAGGCCTGGCGCGCCCGGGATCCGAGGCCGACCGCAGGCACTTAGGGGACCGAGCGGGGGCCGCGGCCGGCGAACCGGTCCGCACAGCTCTCACAGGGCCTTCCGGAGGAGATCGGGGCCGGCAGCTGGGCAGGCAGAGAGTGCGGGGGCTCCCAGGCCTTGGACAGGCCTGCAGCGCCCACCGAGCAGGGACCCGGGACGCGCATTGTCCGCGGACTGGTGCCCTTTCCCCCCACAGGCCCGCCCACCGCACGGTTCCAGGGGGCGGGACGGTGACCTGGCGGGGCGGGGGCACGGTGACCTCATCGCGGTGACGCGGGGCTTCCTTCCCGCGGAGGTCCAGGACCAGGGATGGGCGGCCCTGCCCAGGCGGCCAGAGCTATTTGTGGCCAGGCCCAGCTCCCACGCCGGCCCTTTCCTTGGGGACTGAAGTTCACCAGGCAGCGCTGGGAAGAGGGGCCGCTACTCCGTGTCTTTCTGGTGTCCAGGGCTTGGTCGGGAGCGGCCACCCCAGTAGGCCTGGGCCTCCGAGACTAGCCTGGGGGCACGCATCGTAGCAGATTCTGCTAGTTTGCTTTTTATGTTCTGTTTTTGGAGTCAGGGTCTTGTTTTGTAGCCCAGGCTGACCTTGAGCTGGCAGTAAACCTCCTGCTTTAGCCTCCCAAGTACTGGGTTTACAGGTGTGGGCACTACGCCCAGCGGCAGGGTGCGTTTGTGGCCCCTTTCTGGTGATGGAGCTTGTATTTGGGCCCCAACTCCGAGTTGGAGGTCTGCCCCCTCCCCCAGCTCAGAGGTGAAGGTCTGTTCCCCTCTCAACTCTGAGGGTGCCTGCTTTCCTCAGCTCAGTGGTGAAGAAGGACTCTTCCTATTCCCCGTCTGGGGTGGAGGTCGCTGCGTTTCCCCCCTGACCTGCAGCTGTTGCAGTCTGGTGGGGGAAGAACTCGGACAGGGGCTAGCTGGAGCTAAGGCCCAGGGTGGGGCACCCGGGAAGGCGTGTGCTCCCTTGCAGGGTCAGACTGTCCACAACTGCATCCAGCCCCACCCAGTCCAGACCAAAATACTTGGTCTGCCTGGTGCTCTCTGCCTCTGGCTCTGGCGTGGACCCTGCAGCTCTGGGCAGTTCTGGCCCCCGGCTGAGGCCCCATCAAGAAGGGGTGGCAGCCCCTGTCAGGGCCAGCCCTGTGGCCTGTGACGTGTCCTGACCCTCTAACTCAGCATCCTGGGGAACCTCCACCCACCTACCTTACCTAGGAGCCACCCCCAGTTACTTGGTGAGTGCTGGGTGGGGCGGAGCCGAGGCAGGTGAAAGTCTGGAAACGTGGCCCAGGGCGCCCAGCTGCTGTCTGCACCCAGCCCCGCTTGTGTCCCCAGAGGGTCTGGGGACGGGCACAGCTTCCTCCCCGCTTGGAGAGGGCAGTGAGTTTGTGGGCTCCACCTGCGGGCACCTGCACTCCCCATACATGTGCAGCCCCCAGAAGGGCTGACCTGGGCCTACAGAACTTCCTGCCTCTCTGCCCCTCAGTCCCTGAGGGGCAGCTTCCTGCCAGCCTGTGACCTGGGGCCCAAGGAATGCTGTGAGGGTGGGGTGGGTCTGCTGAGCTCACCCCAGGTGTCCGGCCCCCACTGCTGCCCCCACAGACACCAGGGTTCTGCCCTCCTGGCTGCTGTGGCCCGGGCTTCTGAGCTGCAGCCAGGAAGTGACTCAGTTCCCAGGGAGGCTCCCCCTAGGCCTTCCCTGGGAGGTGGGGCTGTGTATCTGCATCTGCTTCTGTCCGGCTGGTGTCTGGCCATCTCCCAGTCGGAGTCCTGGTGTGACAGGCTGTCTGACCCCCTTCCCATGTCCCCAGATCAGGATGGGTGAGTTCAACGAGAAACAGACGCCTTGCGGCACAGTCTGCCTCAAGTACCTGCTGTTCACCTTCAACTGCTGCTTCTGGGTGAGGAGGAGAATGGCCGGTACCCCACCCCGCCCCGGGCATGGCTTGCACCCCTGGCTGGGGGTGTGGACCCAGGCCAGCTGTGGTGACGGTGTGTGCTGCCCACAGCTGGCTGGCCTGGCTGTCATGGCAGTGGGCATCTGGACACTGGCTCTCAAGAGTGACTACATCAGCCTGCTGGCCTCAAGCACCTACTTGGCCACGGCCTACATCCTGGTGGTGGCTGGTGTTGTCGTCATGGTGACTGGGGTCCTGGGCTGCTGTGCCACCTTCAAGGAGCGGCGGAACTTGCTGCGCTTGGTCAGCAGGGCAGGGTGGCACCCTGGTGGGGGTGGGGGCCTCACTCTCCGCCTGGGACTGCCTCTGGGGCCCTAATGTGGGCTAAGAGTGTCAGTGCAGGCTGGGCCTGCTGTGCTCGGCAGGAGGCATGGGGCCCCTACCTGGCTGGGCCTCAGGGAAGGCACCAGCTTTGGGAGTTAGTTTTGGGAGCCAGGCAGTCCTGAGCTTGCACCTGGTGCTTGAAGCCCTCACCCTGGGGCCCCTGGGCTGGGGCTTAACTCCAGTACCCACTGCTCGGAGGCCCTCTCACCTGGTTTGTGCCCTCTAGTACTTCATCCTGCTCCTCATCATCTTCCTGCTGGAGATCATTGCAGGGGTCCTGGCCTATGTCTACTATCAGCAGGTGAGGGGCCTCAACAGACCATGGGGGACATGGGCCACGTCCGGGACAGGATACACACAGGGATACAGATGTGCTGGAATGCCCCCACCTCCTACCCATCCAGAGCTGACCACTGTGCTGCCAGGTCCTGGGGGTGGGGTCTGGGGCTCACAGGCTGGGGGGACCATCAGGGTGGGTGAGCTGCCTGCAGTGCCCGAGCTGCCTGCAGTGCCCAAGCTGCCCACCCTTGGGGCTCATGGGTGGGCACGTTCCTCCCTGTGGCCTCCCAGCCCCACCAACCTGCCGTGGAAACACTCTCTGACCCCAGCCCATCCTTCTCCCTCTGGACCTCTGGGAGCCTCTCCCAGCACCAGCTGGAGGTCTTGGACTTTGATCCTCTCCCCACTAGCTGAACACAGAGCTCAAAGAGAACCTAAAGGACACCATGACTAAGCGGTACCACCAGCCAGGCCATGAGGGTGTGACCAGTGCAGTGGACAAACTGCAGCAGGAGGTAGGTGTTGCTGGGAGTGCCTCTGGCTGCCCCCAGAGTGGGCTGCAGGCCACAGGCCCAGGCTCAGCTCTGCTGTTTGTAGTTTCATTGCTGCGGTAGCAACAACTCTCAGGACTGGCGGGATAGTGAGTGGATCCACTCCGGCCAGGCAGGCAAACGCGTGGTCCCCGACAGCTGCTGCAAGACTGTGGTGCCTGACTGTGGGAGGCGGGATCATGCCTCCAACATCTACAAGGTGGAGGTAGGTGGGCACCTGGAGCAGGGGGTGGTCCAGACCCACAGGCCGGAGCTCACTTTCTCCATCTCAACTCACCTGTCAGGGGGGCTGTATCACCAAGCTGGAAACCTTCATCCAGGATCACCTGAGGGTCATTGGAGCTGTGGGCATTGGCATTGCCTGTGTGCAGGTTTGAGCATGGGGGTGACAGTGGGGGGTGGTGGTGGCTGGCAGCCGAGGTGCCCACTCATGCCCACCTGGCTGTGCACAGGTCTTCGGCATGATATTTACCTGCTGCTTGTACCGGAGCCTCAAGCTGGAGCACTACTGAGCCCCAGCGTCTGGCCTACCTCCTGCCATGACCGACTACTGAACTGACTGCTGAAGGCCAGGCCTACGGCTCTGAGTGCGCCTGTGCTCCCCATGCTGAACCTTGGCGGACCCACCTGGACGCAGCTCCAAGTGTCTTTCTCTGTACACCGAAGTCCTGAGGCCACTGCCACCGCAGCATGGCATCAGGTGGCCAGTGTGCCTGTGTGTGGGGACTTAGGTAGGGCCCGGGCCTGGCTGGTAGCTGGGGGCTGGGCTCTGACAATCAGGTTCCCCCTCCCACAGGCACCTCCTCCAGTGTGGGGTCCCTTTCTGATGTGTGTCCAGTCTGGACACACCCTGTCTGGCAGCCACAGGCAGGTGGGGGCAACCCTCTGTGCCCTTGGAGCTAGCCTCCCCATGAGCCTCGGCTCCCTAATAGTCGGAACCCTGGCTTAGATTCCTTACTGCTATTTGTCTGTCTCCACTGCTTTTAACATCATCTGCACCGCCACGGGTCCACTGCACTGAGTCTCCCCATTAGTGTCCCTATGGGGCAGTGTCCCTATGGGGCAGGGGATCTGCTGTTGCCCACATGCCCACTGTTGCTCCTGCCTAGTAACAGGTGCTCAATAAACGTTGAAGAATTGGGTTGACCAGCTACCTTAGCAACAGATGGTGCTATCCTGAGGGTCCTCACATACAGTAGGATGGGCAGACCCACTTGCTCAGCGTCCCCTGGATTCAGAGAGCTCACAAGGCTCACAGGCAGGGAAACCCAGGAGCAGGGCAGCAGAGCACACTCCTCAAAGTCCAGTGATCCTTGTGGCCATCTTTGGGACACAGGAGGTAGAGGCTGGAGGCCCATGTCTGCTGGAGGGCACCAAGGGCTGCTGGAGTGTGAAGGCTCTGCCCTTCAGAAGCTTCAGCCAGAGAACCCAGGATGTGGAGGCTGGTGCTGGCCTTCCCTCCCTCTGCAGCTACTCTGGGCTGGGGGCCCACAATGTGGGAGGTGGTTATCAACCCCCACCCTTTGGGCTATTTACCTTGTGGACAGCTCATCTCCTGGGCAGTGAGGGCAGCATCCACTCCCACTTAGCTGGCCCAGTGGACTGCAGGAGACTCACAGGCAGGCCCCCAGTGAAAGACCCTACTGCAGGACTACCTGATGTTCAGACTGGCCCAGACCTTGGAAGGTCAGGGCCTAGAGAGCCAGGGGTTCTGCCTACTGCAGGTTCTGCAGCAGCACAAAGGGTTGGGCTGAGTCCTTGCCTCCAACTTCCTAATAGAGGGATGGGACCATGAAGCAGAATGAAGACCAGCCCTGTGGAAATGGAGGAGCTGGGCCATGCAGCCTCAAGTAGGATGAGGGACATTGGGACACCAATGCAGGGAGTCCCACAAAGCCAGGCGGACTGGCAGGACCTCTTGGTAGTTCTGCAAAGAATTTTATTAGATTCTTTCTAGAATGGGGAGTATTTCCCCTATGGCTGTGGCCGGGTATTGCTTCTGGCTCCTTGAGGCCTCAGCTTGAACTCAGCAGGATATGTGTCCACCATGGTCAGCAGACAGGAATCTTCTCCAGTGGTCACTTCTCCAAGGGTGCATAGTTGAGCAGCTTCTCGATCAGATCCACGTGTGCCAGCAGCATGCGGCGACAGCAATAGCGTTTCAGACCTAGTGCATCCAGGGCGTCCCTAAGTTGAGGGAAAAGCAGTGAGGCTGACTGGTTGCCAGTTTGCACTGGCTTGGAGCCCGCATCCCACCTCCCTGGTGAGCAATGCCTGCTCATCTCTGCAGCAGCAGGGCTGACCTCAGGGGGGCGATCCTCTCCCATCTACTCTCTAAGCTCTGAGTCTCATCCACTCAGTATGTGGATCCCTCTTCCAACCTTCAGTCTTGTGTCCTGTGCTCTCACCTGTTTCCTGTTCCTGCTTTTGCCTCTGTACCTAGGGCTGGGGCTGCTTCTCGGGGTTTCCAAAGGTATTTGGCCCCTCACCAAACTGCTAATTCTCAGACCTCCCCACCTAGCTCACACAGTGGGCTCCATGTACCCCAGTAGTCTTCAGCAGGCGCAGGGCCTCACCCTGGTCACAAAAGCCACTCGCTGCCTGTGGGGTCTTTACCCAGCTCTGCTCCCCCAAACCAGGTAGAAATGCCACTTCCCAGGGACCCACCATGTCCCAAACCAGTTAAGAGGCTTCAACTTCCCTAGAATCTAGTCACCCTGAGGCCTTCAGGGAAGTCCCACCCTGTTGGCCCCAATGGCAGCTTGGGCACGGGGAGGCTGGATTAGGGGGGGTGTCTGACCATGGTATCTGCAGGAGACCTCAGCCACTCACACCCACGATGGTCATTCCAGAAGCCCACTCAGCTTAGGCTGTCCTATGGTATGTACAGGTGCACACAGGAGCTAAGGCTTCACAGGTGACCAAGACACAGCTCCCTGAGGGCGGCTGAAGGCCAGACTCCAACAGGGGTGGAAAGGCATGGTAGTGAGGAAAGAGGCCCGTGAGAACTCCTAAGTGGAGAAAGTCTCTTGCATCTGAAAGGACCAACAAGGCATGAGGTGGGCTTGGGAGCATACAAGTCTAGGCCAGGGAGCAGAGGGACAGAGGAAGCTTTATGCTTTGCTGGAGGTGAGGAAGCGCTTGTGACCCTCTGGAATGACACTCAGAAGTCCCCAAGAAACTGGAGCTTGAGGCCCACATCTCCTCAGACCGCAGGGGGCAACGCTCTCCTCAGAAGAGAAGGGATAGCTGGGCTTGAGGAGATCAGGCCTGAAAATCTTTTTTTTTTTTTTTTGTACCGGGGATCGAACTCAGGACTTTGCGCTTGCAAAGCAGGCGCGGTGCCACTGAACTATTCCCAGCCCCAGGCCTGAAAATCTTGATAGTAGCGACTCTCCGCTGGCGGGATCAGCCTCCCACCCCGCGATCAGACCCCAGCCCCGAGGGGGCTGCAGCAGCACAAACGAAGAGCAGCCCTGTGGAAATGGAGGAGCTGGGCCACGCACCTCCGCTACAGAACCCCACCCCACGACCCGGGCCCGGCGTCGGGACCCCCGCCCCGCCGCCACCCATCTCGCAGGCCCGGCTTCTCACCCCTCGGTGTACTCGGCCTGCAGCAGTCCCAAATAAGCCTCCCACTTGTTGCCGACGATCTTCCCGCAGGTGAAGCAGCGAACCGGGATGATCATGGCGACGACTGGAGAGCCGCGCTGCGTAGCCGCAGGTCCGGCCTTGGGTGCGCCCATTTGGCGGGGCCGATTCCGTCCCAGCTCCGGCCCTGCCCATCTCTGTTGGGCCCGGCCCCGCCCTGTTCCTGCTGCCGTCTGGCCCCCGCCACAGCGAGTCTACCCTGAGCAGACCCGCGGCTCCGGAGGGCCGCACGTCCGCGGCAGGAGCACAAGCAGCAGCCCCCGTCCGTCGCGGTGGTACGTCCCAGTGCTACGGGGCCCGAGCGTGGCCTAAAGACTATAGCGCCCGTTTGCGTTTCTCGTGTTCGCTTGACTGACATCTTCGAGGCGGTAGCGGCGCCCAGTAGGAGGTTGCGCGCGCAGGTACGGCACCCGAGGGCGGGGGTCCCGCAGGCCAAGTCCACCCGAGCGGGAGCCGAACGCACTAGTTCGAGGCCCGAGTGCACCAAGCCAGCCGAGTTGCGGAAACAAGTGGCGCGGCTGGGGTGGGGGCTGCCTGGGGCGCGAGGCCGTGGTAGAGGGGTCCCAGCCTCGAGCCCCTGCCCTCGGCGGTCGGGAACCCGGCCGTGGCGTCTCGGCTTCCCCTGGGCCGCCGCTGCAGGACGTCGGCCGCAGTGACTGAGCCCTGACGGCTGCTTCCCGCCTGCCCCTCTCCGCCAGGGAGCTCAGCGAAGCGAGTGGTCAGGGCGGGCAGCGTGGAGGAGGCGCCCTCGGCGGAACTGCAGCGATCCTGGCCCCGGCCCAGACGCTGTGCCTGCAGGACCTCTGCGGGCAACAGGTCTGCCTTCCCCCGAGGGGACCGGGCGCCGAGGACCTGGGGGACTGGGTGCTGATGGGGGTACTGGGGGGAGCCGCGAGACGGGCGGGAGGAGGTGCGCTCGGGTCGCCGGCCGGGGCGATGCGCTCTGGGTCCCAGGGTCCTGCCAGCTGCCCTCGGGGGGGACCCTGGACTCGGCCTTGGTGGGGCATGAAGTGTCCCCACCCCCCGCAGCTCTGCCACCCCCACGGCGGGCCACGTGCAGAGCCACGCGCAGAGGCCACTTCCCTTCTCTGCGCCCCGGACCGAGTGGACGCACATCCTGCCTGGGCGGAGGGGCACCGGGGCCAGGAGTGGCGCGGCCCGAGTCGGACTCGGCCGCGCACCGCGACGAAGAGGTGAGGACCTGAGGGGTCCCGAGTCCACAGGGTGGACGTTGGGGACGAGTGGGGACCCGGGGGACCTGGAGTTGGGGCCCGGCCTGTCCCACCCCTGCCTGGACGAGTTGTTTACTCTGGGAGAGCTGGGAAGCGGGACCAGGGCGAGGGACATTCCGGGAATTCCGAGTGTGAGCCTGAGGGGGCGGACCCTTACTCCCGCCCCCGACTCCTTCCTCCACTCCGATCACCCGCCCAGCCCCTGCGCGTGCCCCTCCTGGTCCGCAGGACCGTGCTGGACCTGAGGGTCCTGGCTGCCCCTGCCTCCACCCTGGTTGGCGCAGCCCCTCTGTGGGTGTTGGGTGTCAGAGCGGGCTGGGGTCCGAGCCAGCTCCTCAGGTGCAGCAGCGGGAGAGGAGGGAGCCCAGGGTGCAGGGCTTGGTGTCCGTACTTGAGGAACCCTGAGCAGGGAGGGCGCGTGCTCCGGTTCCTGCCAGGGGCCAGGGGAAACCCGTGACTGAAGTTCTGGCCTGTGAGCCCCTCCCGCCAGAGTGTTGCCCTGGAAACAGGCAGCCACCGGGAGGGCAGGGCCCAGGGAAGAGGTTCAGCTGACCTTACCCTCTAGTTTTGGGTCCCAGCCTCGGCTTCCCCATCAGTAGTGTCTTGGTGGGACTAGCAGCCTTCCACTAGGAGGGGCCCAGTTCCCTCCGCACGAAGGGTGCTGCTCCCCAGGACCCCAGCCTCACCCCCACATTTGCACCCTCTCGCTCTGGGTTGGACCGATGGGTGTTCACCCAGAGGGTGTGCTGCTGCCCGCATGCCGGCGCCCCCTGCTGTCTTGACCTGGCACTTCTCACAAACACTGTCCAGGGGGCCCCTTGGGAGTGGGCCTGCACAGAGGTGGCTGCTGGGCTGGGTGGACCCTGCCCTGCTGAGCCACGGGCAGGCCTGGACTGGGGTGTTGGTTGGGAGCATCAGCACGCTCTCCCAGCTGCCTAGAGCCTCCATGCTGGGCGCTGTGCTTCCTGTAGGGGATGGGTCACGGGGCGGGGGCACCCCCGCACCCTTTATTCACTGCTCCCCCTTTCCTGTCTTAATTATGTCCCCACCCTACATCCATATGACCAGCAGCAAGCTGCCCGAGGAAGTGTGGGGAGGTGCTCAGCTGGGGTCCGGAGGCCACAGGACCTCTGGGGGGCTGCCCTCTCCCGGCTCCTCTCCTGGGTTTGGCATGGTCCTGCCCAGGCTGTGGGCCCCACTTCTGCGTGGGTGGTCAGCCTGCCTGGCCAGTATTTGCTGCGCCCCTGGCCAGTATTTGCTGCGCCCCTGCCCAGGGCCAGCAGGGCAGGATGTGCAGCTGGACAAGGGGCCGCAGCTTCCCTGCCTCCTCAGAGCCAGCTCAGCCTGGGAGGCAGTGGCCTGCCCTGGGCACCAGTGTGGGCCGGTCCACTACACTCTGCGTCCTGGGCTGGCCAGGTGGTGTGGAGTCCTGGGTCTGGCTGCACCACCAGTCTACTGCGCACCCCAGGCCGCTGTGAGCAAGCTCCAGTTTGGGGAGGTCCCTCTTTGAGCAGGACTGAGGTCTGGCCAGGAGGGTACCCTGGTCTCCTTGCTGCTCACACTCCCACTCCCACTCCCACAGCTGAAGGTGTCCTTGTTTGGGGCCTTGGTGGCAGATGGGTGGGCCTCATGGGACGCAGCTGGGTGGCTTCGGGGAGTGTGAGCCCCTTCCTGAGCAGGGGGATCCCTCTGCTCAGAGCTGAGAAGGCCAGAGTGTGGGGTGCTGTGAAGGAAGTGCACAGTGCGGGCTCTGGGACCCTGGGCATGTGGTCCGGTGCCCTGGCCTGTGTCCTCATGTCTGTATGCAAGCACATGTCCAAGCACGCATGCTCCAGGAGTGTGCATCTGCCTGGAGTCTGAGGAAGCTGCCTGGCTGGGCCACTGGCCAGAGGTCTGGCCCTTACATGTGGCTGTGCCCCTCAGCCCAGCCATGGGGTAGGGCTTCCCTGGCCCTGGCACCGGTCCCCAGGAGCCTCTCCATTGTGGTCACGGGTGGCTGGGGTGGAAACTGAGGGGTGGCGTGGTCTGCACTCTGCTGTTTCTCCCGCAGGGCCCACGCTGCCTTGGCCGTGCTGACTGCTCTCCAGACAGGGGCTTGGAGCACCTTCCCGGGTGAGCCCAGGTAGGGCCTGCCTGGCCGGTCAGGATGTGACTGTCCTGGGTCCTGGCACAGATGCCATCTCTGTGCCTGTCTCCTTGGGGGGCCCCTGCGGGTAAGGGCTGGGCTCCAGGGACAGTACCAGGGGCTGCAGGTCCGGTGTCTAGGCCCCTTGGTTAGGCACTGATGCCAGGGCCCCACACTGGTGGCAGCCTGTGGCCTCCCTGTGAACCTGGACCTCCTCAGCTGCCTGGCCCTTGGGCCCTGTTGGTGTCAGGTTGTCCCCCTCTGCCCAGGGGTGTGGCATGTAAAGTCTGCAAGTGAGAGGAGTACAGGGTGGGCACCCTGGGCCAGGGACTCGGGGCGGGAATCCAGCCAGGCTCCCCTCTGCATGCCCTTTGCCCCGACGCTCAGGGTCCTCTCAGGGAGCCGTGTCCGTAAGTGCTGTGGCTTCCCATCCGGGCCACTCAGGCTTGGACAGGTGGGCTTGGGGCTGCTGCCTGGGTAGGACCCGCTCTTAGCCTGTGGCCCCTGCTCCCTGCCCCCCATGCCCCTAGTTGGCCTTTTTGGGGCCAGGCGGGCAGTCCAGGGTCCAGCTGTCCCATGGTGGCTGGCTCTGGGCTGCAGGGCCACCTTGGGCTGGCCTGGTGGCTGCCCCATGGAGCAGGGTCAGCGTGTGGGTTGTGGTAGTGTCTGGATGCTTGGTCTGGCTTGTGCACTCTGACCTGGGTTGGCCCTGTGTCCATCTCTGCTTGGGGTGGTCGAGTCTGACGTGGGGCAGTCGAGTTGGGCCAGGGGCTGCTGGGGCCTCCAGGGGTCTGGTGGGTTCATCAGCTGCCATCTGCTTCCTGGCTTCCTGGTGCTCTGAGGGTCAGGTTCTCTGCTTCTGGCTGTGCAGTCCCAGCTCTGTCCCTTCCCTGTCCCAGTTCCCTCATGGGAACAATGGGCAGGGGGCCCTTGGGAAACCCCTCCTGCCCCCACCCGAGGGTTGGGACCCTGGAGTTGGCCTTAGGGTCCGGCTGCAGTTCCCCGCCAAGCCCTTGAGGCAGAAGAGGGCTGGTGCCAGGAGCCCAGGTCCCAATGTGGGGGAGCTCGCTGGGCACCAGGGTTCCTGTGCTTGCTGCAGTCCTGGCCCTTCCTGAGGTTTCCAGAGCTGGCCAGCCCAGCCAATAGGCACCCTCACGTCCATGCCTTCCTCCCTGTGGACTGCACCTTCCAGGATTGTGCATGGGTGGACACTGCTGTGACCACCGTGGCTTCAGTCCAGAGCCCAGGGAGCCCAGGCACAGAGCTCTGCACAGCAGGCCAGTGGGGTGTCCTGGCTCCATGCTGATTTCCTCCCCAGAGGGCCGGGCCAGAGGGGCTGGGGCTGCATCCTTGAGGGAGCTGCTTGCAGGTGTGAGGGGCTGAAGTATGAGCATCCACAGTGCTCTCGCATTCAGGCTGGTGCAGATGAAAGTTGAGGCCTCTTGTTCAGAAATATCGGACTTCTGAAGATGGTTCCACCAGAGTCTGATGAGCAGTTGCTGTGTGGCCCTGCGTCCGGCCCCTGGGTGACTGGACAGGCCACCTGAGCATCCTAGGCCCGCAGAGCCGGCTCGGGTTCCTTGGGTTCCTTTCTGGCTCCTGTGTCCTGGGCTCCACCACTCTCTCCCCAGTACTCAAGGCTCCCCAGACGTCCAAACCGGAGCAGCCCCAAGTTGCCAGCCACAGCAGCTGGGTCACCACTGACTGCTTGGCGCTCTGCATCCCTGGCGTGGTGGGGTCCCTGCCGCCCGCCGGCCGGGTGTTCGGGTCGGGTCGGAACCCGGGGTCTCAGCTGTTTCTCCCACCCGGCCGGCGAGGCGCAGGGGCGGGGCCGGGCTCGCTGCCATTGGCCGGCCGGTGGGGCGGGGCCGCGCGGGATTGGCCGGCGGCGTGGGGCGCAGGGAAGCGGGCAGGTGCCGGGTCCG